ACTGCCAGGTTTCCTCATTTCTGAGAGGGCAGCCACCTCAATCATCAATTGCTTCAGATGTTCCAAGTGCCTACTCAGACAACACGTCTTTATATATTTACTTTTTTCCAAACCAGAAATGTGGAGACAGTTTTCATCATTTTTTCATTGTTCACATTTTCCACTTAATTTCATATAATCTCAATCCATAGGTTTATGAAAATAAAAGTAACAAAATAAGAATTGAAATGAACACTGCCATTATAGTGGTATTTCTCTTATTAATGCTTAAAGCTATTTCTTATTGTTTTTCTGTTCCCTTCTCAATGTTGTAGCATTTCTTTTTATCATCTCATATCATATTGTTGTGTTTCACTTATCCTTTCAGTGGTTTCCTCCCCACTGGACGTTTTGTAATAGGTACTAAATATTTACTATGTTATATTTTATATCACATCAACCTCCAGAGAATACATCACTGTTAGTAACATTCTATGAAAAAGGACACAAAAATGAAAATGTAGGTAGAGATATATGTGCATACACATATATATATATTAACATATATATGTATTTCATACTTTATTTAGAGAATACACACAAACAGGCAAAGGTTTCAAGCTTGCAGAAAACTATGTAAATAACACCTAGCTGATGTAATACTAATTATTCATGTTAAACTAATTTATTAAACTGTAAACACCCTACACTCAAGGTTTTTAGGAAACCATAAATCATAAATGTGGTCCAGTTAGTACCATAATATTCTTAATATTTCACACAAAGAAGATGTAAATATCATTATCAGTGATATAAAGACAATGCAGTTATAAATCTGCTTTCAATATCAACATATGCAATGTTGCTGAAAAACAACTGATTGCCCACATGCTTTATGAAGATCAATATCACTGGAAATAATTTCACAAAACATAAAAATTTAAGTGACAGGATCATTCTTGTAAGCTTTACCAAAGGAAAACCAAAGACTCTAACAGCACATCGCAGATGTACATTTTTACTCCTAAGTGTATCAGAAACAATAAACTTGACTAAGAAAAAGCATGTGACTGGTTGCTGGAATGGCCAGTGAGGGTATCTATAAGTAACCTGGTTAATGAACAAAGAAAGGCAATGAATCAAACTACTTGATTAAATTTCTTCAGAAAACACTGAATAGTGCCAAATGCTAAGACCAATAACTAGAAAAAGAAGAGACTAGTAAAGGAAGGGTATGCTTTGAAGCCTTTCATCCACCACTCAATACGGAAAACCTAAGCCTGGGTAGCCAGTATGAAAATCTAAAGCAGTAGATTCAAATAGTAATGAACCATCCCAATGAATATTTTCCTAGACTTCTTTCATCTTCACAACTGATTCCATTCAGACAATGTCATACACACCCTCTCTCTAACCTCACACATCACCAAACACTTCCATCAATATCGACTTTAAGGTAGACTCTGCAGAAGTTCAGTCAGGAATTCATCAGGATTCTCTATTTCATGCAGAAGTCCTGGAGAAATAAGATAAATTAGTAATGCCTTACACGAATTGAGTTCTAAACATAAAAGGCACTATAATAATCACAGTACTTTTTTTAAGCTTGTAAATTGTTAAATAAAAACTTTTCTAGTACTGAGAACAGTACCATTATACGGCACAAAATATCACATTCATTACTGAATGACAAACAATCTATTTGCTCTTTCAAAGAATCTGAAATAAAATTATAATTTATGTCTAATGCTTCCACTTACCAACTACATCACAGAACTCCATAAAGGAGGAAATAGGCAGGAGCTCCTCTTGATAATGAGTGAGGACCTTAGAAGAAGCCTCCACCAACACTTGGTCATTATGACGCACAAATTCAGCAACTGTTACACTCCATTCTCCCTCTGTACTTGTTTTCTGAAAAATGTATATGGATGTGTAGGTAAATCTTTGCAAAAAGAATTTAATAACCAAAAAGATGTATCATTGAGTATAATCACCCCTAACTACTGTGCAGTACTGACCTTGAAAAAGGTGTTGTAAATAGCATCAATGAGGGCCCAGAAGATTGCTGCATGCTTGTACACACTCCAGTCCTTTGTTGCTTTATCTGTGACTCTGTTTCCAGGTGGTGGGTGGGGTGACACTGATCTAGCATGAGCAACGACCAATAGACGTTGAAGGTACTGCACCCTTATAGATGCCCATTTGGTTGGTGAATAAATGGCTAATGATAAAACACCCATATAAAATGCCCCTTCAGCCTCATAAGCAATTTCAATCCACCTTTCTTGACTTGCCTCGAGGAAGGTCGAGAGCCTCTTCTCTTCTCGACCCACTGACCGAGTGCTGCAAAGGTAATTCATATGTTTTCATACTTGTATACAAATATCTAACTGCTATTCTCACTTTACAAAATATATATAGTAATTGTTAAATAAAAAGCAATACAGATAATAAACCCTGATGTAAGATTCAGATCATCTCAGGGCCAAAATTTATGACTGAATTACTTACGTGTTTATTACATATAAAGCCATGTGGAGAATGTAGGGCACCAAGTTCATATTAGACTGCCTGCCACCACCACCTGTATCATCACTGAAGGACTTTTCATTGGCAAATCTCAGCAGTAGTAGTTTTAGATCATGAAGGGTAGAAGAGTAACTGATATCCCTGAAAAATAAGGCTCTTTAGTCATAAAACAACAATAACAACAAAAAAGTTATTTTCCCACCCCTCTCTTTTTTTTCTTCCTATCATTTTACTGCCCATTAAAAAATAAATAAATACAAGTACATGATAAATGATAAATTACAAGAAAAAAATATTTTAATTTGTCATAACAAACCACAATTAAATATTGACCCTTACCTGTGGGTGGTGCATTCCTGGAGATAGGTATTGTGACGTGCTAGACAGGAAGCAAAAGCTGATTCTGGAACCTGTGGCCCCCATAATGGCAGGAGACCATTAGCGCGGGTGTTAGCATTATGAAGGGCTGCACTCTCCCACTCATCCCGAGACCTGGATGACCTATGTGAATAATCCATCCTTGTAAAGGTTGCAATTTTCAACAGCTTCTCTCTTCACAATACATATAGTTCTATTTAATGGGATAAGGATTTTTCGGGCACAAACACATATCTTAAATATAGATAGAGCAACCTGGATAATCTCAAGTATATTACCAATAACAAATTACGAAGTATATAGTCTAAAATGGATTGTTTATTATTGTGTTAACAGTACTTACCTCACAGCAGCAAGATGACAATCCACATGCACCACATTGAAGTGAGAAACAGTGCAATATCCCAAAGTCTTGTGAGGTTTATTCTCAAACTCATCTACTACACAGCGCTTGCTGAATGTATACACAGCTAACACTTTCTGGGGTTGGCAGCGATAACCCTCCAAACAAATTGCACATACCTATTCACACAAAAAATAAAATATATTAATATAATTCTTGTAAGAAATAGGATGTGTAGCAGTAATATTATATTATCTGATCCAAAGACAAATATACAACAGAATCTTACATAAAACTCACATAAAAATGAAACAGTTTACACAATCTTATAAAAAGACCTACATAAAAACAGTTTAAAATGCAATCAAACTCAAGTTATTTAATTTGCTATGATATTTACCAATCCAGATTCCTCAGCAATTTCTCCCATTTGTGACAGTAATGTAGACTGAGATGTAATTTGCTCCTTTTCATTAGCCTTGAGTCCTAGCCGGCTCAACTCTTTCTTTCTAGTCTCCATGGCCAATCGCTTCTTTTCCTGCCTTGTCTGACGACGTACTTCTTGCACCTGGGAACATTAATATGACAGAACTTAATATAAACTTATATTTACAGAATAATATACACTTGTCTATTCACATCTCCAAATCGAAATGGTTTTCATCAGGCAAATCAATAATTCACTCACCTGCACTGCAATACTTGGATCATCACGAAGTGCTTCAAGCAGATTTTCAGCAACAGAGCCAACATGTTCATCTGATGATATTTGTTCTAAGCGATGAATATGAGGTATGCAAGTAGCTGCAACGGCTTGTTGTGTTCCCCTATGCTTCGTTGCCAATCCTTGATATAGGATAAGGAAATAAATGTATAATACCAGAATACAAGACTACAATATAATCTCAGTAAATTCATTATCCCATTAGATCTGGATGCTTCACTGCCATCATTAGGCTTACATGAGTGGACACTCTGTCGGGTGCTCGGCTTGTAGGCCAGGCACAAAAAAACACTTGTGTGCAGTGACAAGACTCCATGTCTCCCCTTTGCTTTGTTATTTTGTCTTTTTTGGTACAAGTGTTTTTAGTTTTTTGCCATTTTCCAAGGTCTATATTTGTCATTTGATTTGCTTTATCCAGATGATAATAGACTACATATCATCTCTCTAGGTCATCTATGACTCAGTGCAATAATAACAACAATAAGGAACATTTTTTTATTTGTGTCATTTTAAAATATTTTTTTTCATATTTAATTTTCTGTAATATATACTCCAATACAAGTCCTATGCAGGCAGGATTAGAATCCTGAGCAAGGATATAGTGTCCTCTTTGGAGCTGTGGCTCTTTCAGTCATGGATCACAGACATTACATTCTACACTCGTTTATGAAAATAATGCAAAAGCCCCCTCTTAAAATGCCAAGTGAGTCTAATCATCTTCCAGGAGCTTTGTGCACTTGTGGCAAGTCTTCCCTGTCATCCCAGTTTTCAGCTGAAATGCTCGTGACAGTAAGTTTGTGTCACCCAGCCCACAGCTAAATTTCCCATGACAGCATGTTCACGTCACCCCCCAGCCAAATCTATCCATGACATGGTCACGTCATCCAGATCTAAGGGATTAACAAAATATCAGAGACAAGTCTTCAGGTTAAAAAATCCAAGAAGATATCTTACCTGTCAAGAGTCTGAGGATGTATTTGAGTGATGGTCGACTTAGAAACTCTTTCCACTCATCATTGTAAACTACTACCAGCTTTTTACTCTTTGGCATGTGGGTTTCTATATATGTCAATGCATCCTGTAATGGGGGAAATCATGTGTGTAAGGTAAAACAAAACAAAAGTTTCTAATATCTAAACTGAGTAGGTCAACTAATTAAATTGCCGATATTAGTTCATAATATACTACATACATATATAATGGTGCAAACAGTTTTGATGACAAAATTACCTTGACAATATTAGCTCGGATGATCATGTCCTTTAACTGATTGCCATTCTCATTACGCTCAATGCCATCACAGAACACACAGAAGGACTCCATCTTTGCTGCATCTTCAGGTGAGTGCTCTTCATCAAACTTCTCAAAGTCCAGCACAGGACGGAAGTGTCCCACAAGTAGTTCCATCTTCTCCTTGTGACAGAACACCAGGAAGGGAAGCACACGCATCAACCGCTGACGGACCTGTGGCACATTTGAGATCTTGGGTATAATTTTACTTCTGTGATGCATTTCTTACAGAATGCTAATTAAGCATTTAAATATAACATATAGAAATATAAAACAACAAGCACCATGAAATATATTCCTCTCCTACATCTTCATGTAGTCATAATTCATACTGACATTGTTCTAAATCTTGTCTTATAAATACCTGTTTTTAGCATTTATGCAATAATGAACCTATTGCTTCATAGCATTATTATAATTTTACAGTAAATTATAATTCATTATTTAACTTATATATAAGCACACAGTCATATTTAAAAACTAAATTCCAAATGAAGTATCACAAAGAAGCTTAACAATATAAGATCTATAGCTTTCATATATATAAAGGACACTTTCTTACCTGAGCATTGGTGCGAGATGATGTAGCTACATAGTTCAAGAGGAGATGGATGTCCTCAAGAGTACCACATGTTTCCACAAACTCTGTGTATGATGCAGCTGGCATGGATGAAGCTTCTACCAACACTGCCTCTAATACCTGTATATAAATGCATAAAAAATTTAACTTTTCATCTGACAGTTGACCATTGATTTTCTCTTTATACCTATAACTACACATCTATTATCAAGAATATGAGGGATATATGGGAAAATATGAAAGAAATAATTGTTATGGAGGCCTTACCTGAAGTAGTTGCTCTGTGAGAGATGCCCCGCCTGGTGGCCCAGCAACAACTTCTGGCTCTGCTGCAAGACACTGCTTCAGGGTGTGTAGCAGAGTAGAGATGGCATTCAGTGAAGGTACCATCAGGCGTTCTCGGTTTACACGCACCTAAGAAGACCAAGAGAAAATTCATACAGTGCAAACATAAAACTAAAATGCTGGAACTACTGGCAGTGAAAAGTAACAACTGCAAATATAGCTAGTGATAAAACAATCAAGCCAAAGTACATACCTTCACACAATATTGGAAAAGCTTCAGAAGCACTGTGACAAGTGCTCTGGCATAGGAAAGATCACTTATTCTCTGCAGGCACTGAAGCATCACCTGAAGAAATAAATTTGACATTAATATTTACCAAATTAGATTTTCCTCTTAACAAAGCTTAACAACTCACATACTTCCTTATTCAGAAAACTACAAGCACTTACCCTAACTTTAAAAAATTGTAAATATATAATTTATGCAACATATTCAATTTTACACTTTTCAATGCAAGATATATCTATAAAATCATCATGTGTAACATTTCCAGATATATATTTACCTCAAGACCTCCACACTGGCACATGACACTGGCCATACGATACACCTGTTCATTATCCACGTCTTCTTCTTTCTTTTTATCTAAAGTTTCTACAAACTCTTCAGTAGCATCTCCAAGGAGGCCTCTCATTCGATACACTATACGCATAGCATCACTCTCGCTGTTTTCTGCCAACCATATCTTCTTATACACCTGGAAGTTGTGCAGAAATAATGTAGGACTTAGTGAAGGATATTGTATTGACAAATGACACCTATTTTGTACTTCCTCATTTCATACATATTAGCATGATATCACTGAAAATTCTCCTCTTCATGGAAAATAGATATAACAATTATGAGCTTCCATGAACTGATAATATCCTAGACTGGGCAAAGTTCTCATAGACTGCATCTAGTAACACCACAGAGCACCTAATGTTAACTAAAATTTTAAATGACTACTTTAATAAAACACAGCTAAGCATACAATTCTTTCACATACCTCTTTCACAGGCAGGTCTAGCGAGATGATCTTGTTACAGATGAGTAGCTCCATACCATTATCATCTTCTAACAATGCCACTAGCTCACAGTCCTGGCAGATCTTGTTCTTCACATCTCTCATCAGAGGGCCCAGGCCTGGATCTAAGCTGCTGTATGGGTTGCCCACCATGCGACCCTGAAACATCAACCACACCACATAGTTAAGACTTATATGGAACACAATTTGAAGAAAAAATGAAAACCTGAAGAAAAGAAAGAATCTGAAGAAACTATAAGTTTTTTTTTATTCACCACAGCAGGTAAGGGATCTATACAAAGAAATTCATTCATTTTAGTTTCCCTTGGACTGCTCTTTATGGAAACAAACAAGAACACAAACCTGAAGGAAATCTTCCTGCTGAGGATCCTTCTCAAGGGTTAGGAAGAATTCACCAACATCATTCTCTTCTGGATAGATTATAGAGCACAACCGCTCATAAATGAAAACAGGTGTACGCAGGTCATCTTGAGGATACTGCTTCAGAGTCTCAACACAAACATTCATGAACTCCTTTGTTTCTGCCTCCGTACCTGAAATAAAAAATATTATCAAATTAATACGCAACTCATAAAATCACAAAATCAAAGTGATAGAAGTGTGATCACAAAAAAGCATCACACACAAATAAACAAACAAAAATCAACAGAATTGCAATTCATGATTAATCAAAGACGTACCTGAAGTCATATCTTCCAGCAACTCTAGGAACTTGTCTTGGGTGTCATCAATGAGCTTAGTGCGCTGAACCACCAACTTCCGTAGAGAGAGGTAGCCACTTAACACTGTGCCGACTAAGCGGCCCTTATAAACACTCTTGATGGCATCCACATCAATGAATTGAGAGAGCAATTCTGTCAACACTTTGAGGGCATATCCTGAAAAGAACAAGGTTTTGTGAAAAAAATAATGTAAAGTAAACTAAATAAACACATAACTAATATTATTATCAACATTATCATCATCATCATCATAATCATCATAAGAATAATAAATGATAATAATAATTCAATTTGTTCACTTGAGAACTATGGTTGTTGATTTTTTTTTGCAAGGCAAACAATGTGAAAAATCCACCTATAAAATATAATTTTGAAGATATGCAATAATCATACATGAAAATGCCCAGTAGATGAAACTTTCATTTACTTATCCTAAATGACTCTGGTTCTACTATACACAAAGCAATAGCACACAAGTATATAATACAATTATACTTCTTAGCCTCCCCACCCCTCTCTCAACCCGTCTGAAGTACTGTGATCTCACATTTATCTATTACTTATTATGTACTTCTTCCTGGAAAATCCATAGTTTCTGAGTTTCATTTCTAAACTGATAGACAAGACTGATTTTCCTAAATACATATGATGCCTTAAGAAGCACTTGGCAACTCAATTCAAATTGCATACAGTGCTTGTAATCAATATTATCTAAGTGTGGTATCAGATTATTTTATATAAATTGTGTTTTATTCATACAAAAGTAAAAATATCAGTAAAACAAACTCAGTAACCCTATTCTGTGAAATTGCTACAATATGACAGACTTGCCATACACTTCAAGCATTTGGCACAGGACCTTGGTCTAAGTATTGATACTGGGGCAAAATGGACATAGGGTTATACCTGCGTACTTTCAGGTAAATATATTTGTATTTTTGCCAAAAATGAGAAAAAGCAACTGCATGAGTACATTATTTAAGAACAAAAGCAGTAATAGCTACAAATCACACATCAAAATTGCAATCTGCATTACCTTGACTTAGATCTGTGGTAAGGGTTGTCTCTTCTAATGTGGTCAACAGCTGAATTTCAGCAGTAATGAGACTAGCGATGGTTGGCAGGACACCCTTTAGTGCCAGGTAGTATTTCCAGTGAGCACCTAACAGGAGAGTTTGGTACAGAGAGACAAATTCTGCAGCACTTTCTCCTGCCTTTCCTATTTCTGGTAAGAATGTTGTGAGCATATCCAGCACCTGAAAAGGACATAAATGAGTAAATCAGCATGAGGCAAAAACTGCCTTTGAACTAACATACACATCTGAAATTTAAAGTGCTCAGCAACGTGACCATTTCATCTGCGAAAGCAATTACCTCTCTCTTGCGTTGGGATGATGTGCAGAGGGACTCCACCATTTGTGCAGTGACCTGGCGAGCCATGCGGGATGATGGGTTGAAGAGGACACGTCGCAACCATGAAGATTCCTGCATCTTTAGGTCGTATTGGTGACGAATTGTGTGGGCCAGCCAGCGACAACCATACTTCTCTATGAGGTATCTTTCATGGACTTCATCCTACAAAAAAAAAAAAAAAAAAAAAAATAGTAGTAAGTAATAAACAAAAGTTTTGAGGAAATACATGGAAACAAAATCGAACACAAATTACAAACTGAACATCATCTCTGATTTATTTATTCTGAAATATATGTTAGCTTCTTACCTTCTTCATTTTACTAATAGCTGGCTCTTGTGCTCTTCTAGCTGATCTCTTCTTCCATGTCTCATAAGAGTGACTAGGGTCACCACTCAGCCACTTACTCACATCTACTCCAACCTTCAATAAATAAAACAGAATATAATAAATGCAAACCTAAAAAAAATATTAAGTGTCATATGCTACCTCATTTTATAAACTACTGGAAAGTTTTTTGTTTCAATTCTTACCTTTGAGCCACCCAAGTAAGCGGCCATCAAGTCAGTAGAGGCAGCACTGGAGGCAGATGCAGCTGCAACAACTGCAGTAACAAAGGCTGCAGCATTCATGGGGGTCTTATCCCTGCTCTTACGAGGTGGTGGGGGAGTCGGTGGTCTCATCACCCCTTGGAGGATGCGGAGGCAAGGCAGAGTGATGTGCTCCATCACAGTTGGGGAAGCGTTGGATCCTCCAGCCATTAGGAACAATTGAACCACACACCTAATATAGCAAAAATCCAACAGGTTTATTGGGGGAGAGGGGGGCATAAACTTTAGTACTTAGCTAAAATCTCTGGCAAAGATTTTTATCAAAAGTTTCACATGTATCAAAGTTTGTGAATAAATACTGAAGGACACAAAAATATCATAATCTTCATAAAACAAACTGCATGATAATAATAATAATTACCTTAACCTATACTCCCAACAGGAATCCTCCTTCTGTGCAGATGCTGCCAACAAACCCATTTCATGTCTGACTGCAGCTGCCAAGTCTGGCGATGTCACATGGGACCGCAGAGCCATGCTGATCTTATCCATAAGGGGTTAAAAAAAAAAATAGTAGTAAGTAATAAACAAAAGTTTTGAGGAAATATATGGAAACAAAATCGAACACAAATTACAAACTGAACATCATCTCTGATTTATTTATTCTGAAATATATGTTAGCTTCTTACCTTCTTCATTTTACTAATAGCTGGCTCTTGTGCTCTTCTAGCTGATCTCTTCTTCCATGTCTCATAAGAGTGACTAGGGTCACCACTCAGCCACTTACTCACATCTACTCCAACCTTCAATAAATAAAACAGAATATAATAAATGCAAACCTAAAAAAAAAATTAAGTGTCATATGCTACCTCATTTTATAAACTACTGGAAAGTTTTTTGTTTCAATTCTTACCTTTGAGCCACCCAAGTAAGCGGCCATCAAGTCAGTAGAGGCAGCACTGGAGGCAGATGCAGCTGCAACAACTGCAGTAACAAAGGCTGCAGCATTCATGGGGGTCTTATCCCTGCTCTTACGAGGTGGTGGGGGAGTCGGTGGTCTCATCACCCCTTGGAGGATGCGGAGGCAAGGCAGAGTGATGTGCTCCATCACAGTTGGGGAAGCGTTGGATCCTCCAGCCATTAGGAACAATTGAACCACACACCTAATATAGCAAAAACCAACAGGTTTATTGGGGGAGAGGGGGGCATAAACTTTAGTACTTAGCTAAAATCTCTGGCAAAGATTTTTATCAAAAGTTTCACATGTATCAAAAGTTTGTGAATAAATACTGAAGGACACAAAAATATCATAATCTTCATAAAACAAACTGCATGATAATAATAATAATTACCTTAACCTATACTCCCAACAGGAATCCTCCTTCTGTGCAGATGCTGCCAACAAACCCATTTCATGTCTGACTGCAGCTGCCAAGTCTGGCGATGTCACATGGGACCGCAGAGCCATGCTGATCTTATCCATAATGAGGCGATTCAGTTCTTGTGTGGCTGACAGGTCATCTTTAGTCAGGAGGCAGAGGAGTTGACGCACCTCACTTCGCACCTGCAATTCATCAAGTTTCTAATCAGTACATATACAACTAAGAGGCAGAGATAGAAAGTGAAAGAATAAAGGGGAAAAAAAAAAAAAAAAATGATACAAAAACAATGAAAAATCATCTTTTCACAACTTCCACTACTTGTTCTCATCAAAAATTCAAAAACACCGAAAATGACTTACTTGTACAGTGCCTCTCCTTAGATTATATTCAAGGAGATCATTGATCAGTCCATGCTGGCAAAGGGCAGCCCTGAGAGTGGCATTTGTTGCCAAAGCCCGAAGAAGAGTAATGCAGTGCTCTGTGGCTGATGCTGCACAACCATAGCAGCGACCAGCAGCCACCACTCCGTCCTCATGGGTGCTTGCATGAACAACACCACTACGTGTGATGGGGGAGACAACATTCTTCTTCCCACCTTCTTTCTGGGACCGATCAAAGGCAACAAGCTCTCGCCGGGAGGCTTGAATTCGCTGATTAAAAAAAGAGCACATATTCATCAACAGACTATTCTAACAATTACTACACTACAGACAATATTTAGTGAAAAGATCTGTACCTCAACTTAGTATCATATTGTGCTAGATGAACATTAAACCCAACTATGTCAGGAGTCCCCACTAGAATAAGAAATATAAAATCACCTTGTTCTCTCTGCTCTAAAATTTATCAATAAATTAAACACACACCTGAATAACTTTAGATAGATCATCAAATGAGTTCTTGCAATCTCCACAGTACTTCTGAGCCAACTGCTGGATGGCTCTGTTCACCTGAGTGCCTCCTGAGCTGCCTTCATCATTACTCCTTGCTGCTCCTTGCTCACTTATTCTCACTAACAGCAGCTGATGTGGGATAAAAAAAAAGGAAAATTACATATTTATATATATATATTTTTTCTTCTTCTTCTTCTTCTTCTGAGAGAAAAAGAGAAATTACAGCAGGAAGTCTGTGTTCATACACATGAAAATGAGCTAAGTTAACAAATGAAAAAGTAAATAATGAATGGCAGTGAACCAGTAAAAGTAAAAAGTACAACCTTGCAAGAAAGCAATAACTACCTCCAAAGTTGGTTTATATGCTTGCAACTGCTTGTACGAACGATCTGCCTTTTCTAGTAAGTTGTTGATGTTGAGAACTGCCTTCTTCCGGTCATCTTCATTTTCTATGGGATCCACAGCACAGCAAGGTCGACATTGCAATGTGTAATCAAACTTGGCATACTTACAGTAACCACAGGCATTGCAAAGGAAGGGATCTTTCTCATCATAATTGATGGCCCTAAAAAGGTTTAATAAAGTTTAGGTTAAAATCTTATCAAATTTATAAACCATCAATATGTAAAATCACATAAGAACAATTCTCTAAATACCAACAAATATGTATCAAAACCAGTAAATGTATCATTCTATGTAAAAAGAGGAAAGTTTAAAATGATTCAATCAAATAATGATTATGTACATATGCATCTTCCTATTTTTGTGCTTCCATTCTCTAAAATAAATACATGGATATATTGTTACAACACACAAAAACAATAATAATAACAACAATAAAAAGATAAATAAATAAATAAAAATAATAATAAACAGACCTGCATTTGTGACACTGATACACATTCTCTCCACAATTAGCACATACTCCAGGGGATGCTGGCACGGCTGCTGAGCACCGAGGGCACTGAAGAGTTTCAGTTGAGGCCTGAAATAGATATACAATATGCCTTCGTTTACAATAAAGGAACCACATAGCTGAAAAATTTGAAATATCTAACTGCCTATACAAAGGAATTATTCTGTTTTCATTTTATTGTCATTATGCTATTGTAAAACTTACCTGAAGATTCTCATAGAAGTCAGTATATTCAAACATGAGGTTGCACGCAATAATTGGCAGAGGGAAATCAATTTTAACCTCAATCTGGCCAGCAGACAAGGTCACCTTCTTTGCACGATGCCACATGGCTATCAAGGAAAAGAAAGAAGAGTAATTAATAGGCAGAAAATGCCTCTTAGTACTTGAAAAATCAGTATACAAACAACAATCTTATTAACCCATTGCCGTCGGGGATGGCATGTACGTACATGCCATGCCCACTGTGAGTCAACTTGTTCGATTGTTTTTACACATAGATGGCTACACTTGTACTAAGTATCCAATGAGCCAATTATGAGTACTGCCTGTCTCGCCCGTTCACCCTTTTCATTGATTTACGAAAATATTTAACGATATTTCACAAAAATAAAAAAAATGAGTGCAGAATTTTCCCCATTTTTTGTTCATTTTCCCCGGCGGCAATGGGTTAATTAATGATGTTATTACCACTTGGGATCCTATAATATCAAATGCTTATTGTTAATCAATATTGAAGCCTTTGAGTGAGCAGTCATCCATTCAGGGAAACTACAATATAAACCTACACATCAAAATCACCAAGACAATCAAAATAATTTTTTCACAAAGTTAACAAAATATGGATAATAATGTCCACAAACTACTGGGTATGATGATCATAGTGAGTGTGTAAGGCCTGTTACAGCTAGTAACAACTGCCTAGCTAAATACATAATAAAAATCTAAAAACAGAAAGCAACTGGAAATGGTCAATGGAGGAAAAAACAGGCCTAAAAAAGGAGTACTGAAGAACAAAAATAAGAAAAAAAATAAAAACATTACTCACCAGGTTTGTTCTTCAGCTCTACAACAGCCTGGACTGAACGGTTGTTGTAGAAAACATTGAGGGTACGGACCATTTTAGTACGCTTCAGATCAGCTATACGCAAAGTCAGTCTGCTAATCATATGACTGCCAACAAGCTTGACAAGCTGGGTTGTTGTGGTGAAGCGAGAATCCACCTGCAAAATATTGTTTGCTCATGTAGTTCTCCCTATATTTTTTTGCTTCCTGCATTCTATAAAATGTCTACACAAGAATACTTTACTATATAACAATAGAGTATACAAAATCCTTTTCTCAATGAGTATAAATGCAATATTTCAATGAAAAAGAAAATAGTAGACTTTATAAAAGAAAAAAATCTCAGCGTAAAATAATAGTAAGAGCATGTAATAAAAAATAATGGATAGTAGTGGCACTAAAACTAAATGTTAACAAATACCAACCTTGACTGTGGAAAGCTTGACACTTGTGAATGGAACTTCTGGGTTGTTACAGACAAGGCATGGCTCAGATTCAAGATAATATCCATCAAATTCAACTAAAGATGCCAAGGAGTTGTACAGGTTAGCATTCGGATGGTTAGCAAGAAGCTGTGACTGAGTGCGTAGGACAGTGACAGCTCTGTTGATGTATTCAATAACCTGGAGGAAAAAGAGCACATTAAACAATGACTTGAAATGTATTACACAATGCTGATAATATAGAACTATAAAAAATTAATGTATTTAATCATTATTATTACCTTCAATGAACTGCCCTTAACCCTATGTACTGGGATGGCATGACATGCATGCCATATCTATTGTTTACTGATTGTGTTTACACAGACATTCCTCCACAAGTACTTAGTGACCACAAAGTCAATTACCTTTTTTAACTATTTACCATTTCCCTTGAGTTTTAGAAGGAATTTGTTTTCATCTTTTGTTGTTGATATTGGTAATATTGCATTGTAAAAAGCACAATACTGATGATAATGAAAAAAAACTTGATTTTAGGAGTAGGAGAAGGAGATAAATCCCCAAAATTCAAGGAATGAGGAAATCAGGTGAGTACACTTTGGACTGCTAATTGACATCTAAGTGGCTGAACACTTGGGTGACAAAATTCATAGTGGACAGCACATATAGTCATGTACAAATGGCTAAAAGTCTTAATTAGATAAACTTCTATATACCTTCTTTTCACAGTGTTGAGTCTTGAGGGAGAAATATCCCAAGAGATCAACAAACTGTGCAGCCTTCCTGCCATAGGCAGGCAGGTGTGGCCACAGTGACCACATGAGTGTAAGGAGAGTATCCTGGTCCCTTGGTGGGGAATGGCGGTACAGTGCTAGGACCAGTGAGTGTGCCTGCCAGCGTACTCCTGTTGAGTTGGACTCCAAGAGGAATGTTCGGACAAACTGGCTGATGCGGTTACGGTCCAAGTATCTGTAACACAATTATTATATTATTCAATTATCGAATATCAAATTAGACGAATGTAAACTATGACATTCAGCTTTCTTATCACTCCTTATTTCTATACTGAATAGTCTACAGCTTAACCACAAAGGATGCACAGCATAAACATCAACTCACCTATTGATTTGAGCCACGAGTGCAGCACAATGTGCTTCTTCACCACGGCTTTCTCCTTCACTATCTTCACTTGAAGCTCGTTTTGTGCTGCTACTTGAGCTCTGTTAAAGACATAACATTTGTACTACCTTGATACAAATAGCTAGAACTTCAATTATAAACAAAAAACAACAGTATAGCAAAAAATAACACTCATTATCTCAGAACAAATAAATTCAGCTCATAGTACCTTCTTGAAAACACTCACTTTGGAACTTTCTGAATTCTTTGACGTAGGACAGAGTGCTGCCTGTAGGAGTTGTAGCACTGTAGGTGCAACTCCTTCCTCTAATAGGCATGATACTTCCATCAAGAATCCAAGTACACTCTCATCTTTCATGCAGTACCTTCAAATTCAAAAGAAAAGATTAGTGCTGCTACTGCTGTCTTTTTATATCTAGATCAAAATCTATGGAGAAATTATAAAAAGAAAAAATGGAAGGATAAAAAATTAAAGATGAACAAAAATATAAAAATATGTAACAATGAAGGACAGAACTATCAATATACAATAAAATATGAATAATTTGCAAGAATACTTACTTTTGCCAATTTGGTGTTCTAGAAGAGGCAATGTCTACACATGACTTCAAATGCTCAATAAGCTGAATAAGGGAGTCGTATGGCAATGCAATTGGTGTTAAGGATGCACTCCCTGAGAAGCTAAACCCTCCTTGTGCACACAGAACTTTAACATCCTGTTTCAAGACAAAAATTAAAAATTAATTACATTTATCTCCACTGATTACAGAAATATTGCTAGCAACAGAAACATAAAATACCAAAAAAAAATTTCAGAACATTTCATAAAAGAAGATAAAGCCTTCTTTAAACAAATCATTAGTAGTTTACCTTGATGTGGTAATCCAGTGCATGCATGTCCCTCATCTGGCGGTACCTGTCCTTGTGGCCACAAATGAAAAGCAGCAACTTCCGTACCTGACGTCTTACAACTGGGGTCTGTTGAGTCATCATGTACTCACACAGATAATGAGACCAGGCTGGTTCAAACTGGCCCCCTTCCCCTAATTTCTTCATCTGAAATAGGGATGAACAAACTGAATATCTTACAAAAAAAAAAAAAAAAAATTGCTTGTCATTAAAATGTATTGTCAAAAAAAAAAGAAAGAAAAGAAAGAAAGAAAAAAAAGAAAACACTAAATAAATAAATCTGAAGCAGACAAGCTATCCATTTTCATACCTGATATGGCAGCCTCAGAACCATTTCTGTCAAAAGGTGAGGGAAAGCTGCAAAAACATCATGGGCATGTCCCTTGACATACTGTCGTAGGAAAAATGGAGACATGTCAGGCGGAAGAGAAAGTGGTCGAGGTTTTAGGAGGCCAGCACCAATGACAGTGCCTCCTTGCTCTTCAGATGTTGCTCGCCAATACTCCAGCAGAGCTTTGAGGAAGGAGAGACAATGTTCCATAGCTCCTGATCGCACTAAGCACTTGGCTGTGGCCTGTGGAATCACGCTGGAATTATCGCTGCTTGATCTGCCACCAGACTTGCTTCTTGACATCATTACACCTAAAAGGATAAAAATAGGTATGAGTTTATCTACAGGGACTTGTATAAAAATCAAAACCCATAAAAACCACAAATGCTTACTAACATCAGTTTCAACTGACAAACAATGTCACTCCAATTTTCTAATACTCAGCACTTACTCAGCAGTCTCATCACAACAAGCTGGACCTCCTTGCCAGGTGTACGCTCAGACACTGTTGCTACATCAATGCTGCTCATGTTCAACTGAGTGACTAGAGCCATGAGGACAGAATCCAAGCTTGTGCGGTCTCTCGTGTCATTCCCATCTAGGTCAGAGGTTAGCATCAAGAGGACCTAGAATAAAACAATTTAATATGAATAATCAAAAATAAATATAAAAAATGGCATATAAATAAAAAATCCCCTTAGCAATCTTTCATGATAAATTAATACCAACACTTTTACCGAATACAAGGTAAGGAGGATGAAACCAACGATTATAATTAATATCTTAAAAGCAGAAAAACTATAAAGTCAATATAAACAATTCGCAAACACAAGGAATCCATGTAATGAACAGGAAATCTATTAGAGAGAAATCCTTTTCTTTTACTTACTACAAAATTACCTAATGATAGTTCTGATGGATTCTTTGATATTAATTATATCATTCTCATTTCCTGTCAGTCTTTACATACCTTCTGTCATTTAAGCTGAGCCTTTATAAATAACTTACTTGGAAGAAGGGTATAGTTGTAACTCCTCCAACAGTTGACAGAGATGGAATGCGCTGCACCAGGGCATCTAATAGAGCCAGACGGAGTGTATGCAGTCCTACACCTCCTTCTGGTAATTCCTCCTCAACCAAGTCACCCTAAGAAATATATTCAAATTATTTATCTGACCTTACAATATTCTCAGTAACTAAAAGATACTGGTTAAAATATAATTATACACAAATATGACACATCTTAATGAAACCTTACCTGAAGTGTGGTAGGTAATGCTGCCACTCCATCACGAAGAACTGCTGCTCCAGATTCTTGCCCAGTGTCTCCATAGGCTGAACTACGTCCAGAAACATTGTGCTCACCACCCAAGCTCTCCACAACAGATCCTCCAGATTCACTTCCGGCACTTCCAGCCTAGAATGCAAGTCAAATTAAAAAATAAAAAGTGTACATAATACTTCTCAGATGAAAAAACATCCATGACTCACTCAAATGGCTGACGATAATTTCATCTTCATTAACTTAGACTCAAAGCCATATGTCATCACTAAAGAATAAACTCAGAGGCAATATAAATCATTTATAAGCCATTAACTAAACAAAGCATCAAAATCATATCTAACATGTTCTGCTGGAGAGGCTCGTAAGTTTGATCCATCAGTGGCTGCTGTAGATCCATCGCCATCATCATCATCTGAGCCATTAGCTGAGGCAGTAGTGTCAGAATAGTGTCCATTTTCTTGCCCATCAGCACCTTCAACATCGCCAGCTTCTGCTTCCTCTCCACCATCCTATAATTAACATCATCATAAAAATCTAATGTTTATCAGTAGCACAGACCATGATCAAATAACAATATTCCAGACTAATAAAAACAAAGATACACCTAATGAAGATTTTACTAACCTGTTGACCTTCTTGTGCATTGGCCTGAGCTCCACTACCAGGCATTCCTCCAGCAGCTAGTACTTGGAGACTATGGAGGACTTGGCCACTTAGTCCCTGCAGGCGATGTAAACCTGGCAGGCCCCCTACGAGTCCTTGCAGACCTGGAGGAAGATTACCCAAATCTGCTGGCGCTTGTCCTTGATCTTCATGTAATGAGAGTGCAATTGCAAGTTCTACCATGGCATCATCATCATCAGCAGGGAGGTCTAACATGCTGCTCATCAGTGCACCTCTCAGGGCCAGGCCACCACCACCTCCTCCAAGGGCTCCTAAGGCTTCTAGGCCTTCCCCACCACCACCTGAAAACAAGGTAATTGAGCTCATTTCATGGTCTCTTATGATAACAAAAATACTCACTGATTTGTAAACAAATAGCAAATATGCATAAAAGATACTCTTCTCTCCTCAGCTTACCAGCTTCTGCAATTGACTCTGCAGCTTCAGCTCCCTCAAATGGAGGTTCAACTAGGGCAGCTCCAACTGACTCCTGTGTAGCTGTTGTTGTTTTTTCAGCATCATCCACACCAACACCTATTTAAAAATTATTATTAAAGTCATAGAATATCATCAATAAATTTTACTGAAAGTAAAGAGCACACAATTAACTAATACAATCTCTACAAAGATTATTACTTATCAATCATTTTAATGTGTCATATGTGTGGATGTAAATATTCTTACCTGGTGTGGAGCACCTTGGTGGACTAGGGATGAACACCTTGCGTCTCTTGTGTCGAGGTCTCAAAACTCTTATCAGTGCCTGTTTAGCACCAAAACTTACACCTGTGTCTGTGCACAGTAATAGCTCTGTGTAAAGTCTCACAGCAAGTGGCACTACAGATAGGGAACAGACTGTATATGCATGTATAATTTCCACCACTGCTTGTACTGTTGCCTCTACATGAGTCAGTCCTGTAAATGAATACAAAATATTTTATATTACTATTTTATAAAAATAATCTAACAAGCATATACTGTTGCACATATTTAAGAATATAAATCAATAAATTCACCTACAAGTAGTGTGAAATATCTACAAAATATACAAAAAGGCTATACATAAAGAGCTAAGATTTTACAGACAGAAACAAGTCTTCCAACTCCTCTTTATAAATGCCTAAAAACTTACCTGGTTGACAAACTGGTGTCAGGAAGGGATTTGTTGGTTTGGCACCATGCAGAGCCCAAAAGACTGTCATCAGTTGTGCTAAGAAATGATTATCATCGCAAGTAATATCATTGCCATTGCTGTCTCCACCCTCAAGTGTTGCTTCAGAGTCTGATGTAGTGTCTGATGCCTTGCTTAGTGTGGAGTCTCCATCTGACTTCTTTGACATGGAAGCATCTCCATCTGTCTTTGGCCCAGGAGAAGAGACTGGGATGTCCATTTTTTTGGAATCATCTTCAGAAGGTAACAGGGCCAGGTCACAGGATGGTACTTTTTCAGTATACCTGTAAAAACAATTAATTGACTTATAAAACAAACGATATACCCATACAATGAATCTGTATACTATAATGATGAAAAACCTACATATTATTAAATTTCTACTTTGGATAAAATTTGTACATACTTGACAAGATTATGAGGTCTGGCAACAGCCACATTTCTTGCTGTGACAACAAGCCTGTGGTATGCCTCACAATCTAGTTGATGAGGATCTGTCACACGGCATAAACTGCTGAGTGCTTCTACCACATTGGCAAGCTGTGCTCCATCCTTATGATTATGATATGCAACTCTGCTCTGATGTAAGGAAGCTAGCAGAGTTCGAGTGTGATGCTGCAGAGAAAATAAACATGTTAGTATCTGAAGAAACTAGGTGACTACAATATCAATATTTCACATAAAGAAACTACTAAAAATTATAATTTAGAATTACCTGCACAGTTGGTGGGAGAGGAAGATTTAGCAATTTGGTTGCAAGTTCTAGTGCACCGGCACGGGCAACAATCTTCTCAGCTGGTGTTGCTACAAAGCATCCGTCAAGAGTCTCAAGTGCTGCTGACACAAGACGGTCTACAGCAGTCAGTGGTACAGGGGTGGTTGTAGTGCTGCCTCCAGCTGAAGTGGATTCTGAAGAGGTTCCAGAGGTTCCAGCAGTCCCAGACCCACTCACAGTGGTGGGGAAGTCCTCTGGTTCTTCAGGCCAGCCAAAGTCATCTTTGGTCTTTCCATATCTAATATTAAAACAATAAAAGCATAAACTTCTCAAAAAGAATAATATTTTTAAAGAATTACTTACGAGTAAATGAACAATAGAACTTCTGTTGTGTAGAAGTTATATTTCAATACTATGACAATATTTGATATATAAAATTAATAGCTAATAAAATAACACTAAAAAAAGAGACAAATAACACACAGACTATGCACAATAGAAACGGATTTATACTCACATCTTTACAGAGTCAACAATGGTTACATTTGAAGGGTCTGCTGAAGGTCCGAATGTGATAACAATTCGTTTGTCTGCTTGTAATGATTCCTCCCTGGTGAGGGGAACATCAAACCAGCGACTGCGTGTTGCAGCAATTGATACAGTGCGACCAAACACCTGAAATGATGTAAAATGTAATTCTCCTCCAAAAATGCATGCACCTTTTACACCATCAAAACAAAACATTAATAACAAACAACTTCCCAACCGACCTCTCTCAGATTTTAAAATTATCCATAACACTAACCTCCAAGAATGCAGGCACCCTTTGAGTGTCAACAGCACCAACAGCAATTCTAATGCCACAAATCACTAAGGTGGAGTCATTGTTAGTAGCCTCTAACTGGAAACCACCTGGCTTGGTTGATGCTATGTACATTCCTGTAAAACAGATTAGCATATATATTTTATTGCTGGAAACTTTCTATATACTTCAAGATAAAATTTCTAGTAAAAATAATAAAGTAAATGCAATAAATATGTAAAGTTCTGAAACAAAATGTTTTAAAACTTACCTTGACTGTTCAACCTGTTCTTCAGTTGCTGAACATTATACACTTGAAGAAGATCATTGCCACCAAATTCAATATCATTCATCACAGAGCAATGCTCGAAGAAGTCAACAGGGAACACAATGGATCCTAAAAGATAAAAATCCAATAAAAAGTGTTTTCTTGCACATTTACATAAATCAATCAAACATCAATGTACATTAACTTATTACTATATAAAAATGACACTGAAATAAAGGATTTATGTACTCTGAGACAACAACAATGATGTGGATATTATTTTCCTGGAATAACACCCAAATAATTTTCTGAATATATTTCATAATTTACCTGATGGTCTTCCAAGTTTGGGTGCTTTCTTCTTCCTGGAAGGTCTAAGTGCTGAGATGGCACTGACACTTTGCATTTGAGGTGATAACCAGAAATCTGTAACATAAACATATCAGTAAAAATGATATCTATAAACTATCCCTTCCTAAGAGGATTTCTTAGTCAAAGAGAGTAATATCATCTATTCATCTAGTCAAGAGTGGAAATATAAATAGTAAAAAACTATGTACATTACTTGAGTATCAAACAAACCTGTTGTCTGTGGGTTTGCATTGTAGATTCTAAGGGAACCATCTTCGCACAACAGGATAAGTGTTGTCTTTGCTTCATGATTAGGGGACCAAGAGTGACGCAAAGCCACTAAATCTGTCATTTTGCTCTTGGCAGGTAGTACCTTGATCTCTTGGACTAAGATTTGGTCGGGCTTCACCATCAGGATCACAGGATTGTTACCTAATTGGGAGAATAATTTCAAGTTAACAAATATCAAAGTCATAGGCTTACTTTACCAGAGTAGCTGATTTCACCCAGGCAACTGGATCATCTTAAAAAAATAATTGCTCAAATAACATGACCAACTGCAATTTGTTTAGTTACATAATTACCAGATTATATATACATAAATCATTACATGACGGCACACTTACTGGACTGAGTAAGACATGTGATTAGCCCAGGATGGCCAGTGACTTCTCCCCACTGACACAATGGTTGTGGTGCCATCTTACTGCCACTGCCACCACTGCTGCTACCACTGCTGCTGCTACTGCTACTGCTGCTGCTGCTGCTACTGCTGCTACTGCTTCCTCCAGAACCATTGCCTCCCTTGACACTCACTGGGAAAAGTTTCTCAACCCGTTCGTTTTCACCTGAAACAGAATCCAGCATATGAATATTTTTTCTTTTACTTTAACTAATTATAGTTATAAAACTATTGAAATTAAAAACTCAAAACCACATACTAAATTCTTTACCCTTCCCCCCTCCCCCATTAACTGGTTCTCATTCAAGGACATACAGAAAATCGGTTCACATCTAGAGCTAGTTTCAAGACAACCTTTAACTTGAAAGAATGACAAATGCACCTGAAGCCATAGAAAGAGGCTGATTAGCTCAGACTCAAGAATATAGGAAGAAAATTTTGGCAAGAACTAAGAATTACTGCTTGTCTCAGCCAAGTTCTTCAAGTGTATCCATTCAATGTGTGCCTAGACAAGTCTCACCCAAATCCTAGCTCCCCTACCAATGATGACCACAGCTACAAATCTGTGATCCCTCCCACAATTTAGCACTTCCATCTCAACATTACAACCTCTGCAACAGCAGCAGAGGGTTAATGCATTCTGTTGCGTGTTTACATAATTTCTGACTGATTTGTAATGGAGTTTTCTTTGGGAGAGGAATCAAAATAAATCCATTTCTGGGAAATAGAGAGGCTGCAGAGAGCACAGTGCCAGGAGGTAAAAAGAAGAGCTTTTGTTAGCAAGATAATTATGACAATTGTACTTGCAAATGGAATTGTAAAGATGTCTCTTACTCTAGAAGTAAATACTTACTTATGGAGACAAGTGGTGCAATGAAGCTCTTTCCTTGAGAATAGCTGAAGCAAAGTACTTGGAGAGTATGGGAGTAGTAAACAGATACTCCTCCTCCTCCAATTTGGCCGTTGCAGTCCTTTTGGGACATAAGAAAAGATTAATTGTTATTTTTGCTTCATTAAATGGGCATTAAACTTTTCATTTGATTAAACTAATTCAAATCCTGACTTAATGTAAACAACTTGCCTTGAGATCTTGGTGTTGTATCTGAAGCACATTTGTAACATAGAATGGTCCATGTTGTGCTGAACTCTCCTCACTTAACACTTGTGTGTAAATGTAACCAGATGAGGCCATAGCCACTAAGCAGCATCCTGCATCCTGTAAGAGGAGAAGACACAAATTTTGTTAATCTTTATTAAGGACATGATTTTATCAGTAGCTATGATATATCTGGTATTAAGAAATACACTACATATCACAAGATGGTTCAAAATGAAGGATCTAAACTATTTTTCCATAGAACATGTCATACCTGAGTGCAGACAAAACAGGCATCCTTGATCTTTCCAGATGGCAACAGGAAGAAATACTGAGGTGAGAGTGAGTCAATACTAAGGTCGTAAATTTTGACAAAGTCTGCTGTGATGAGGGCTAACTGTGTTTGCTGGCCTGGCAGCCATACAGCACGAATGATGTAGTTCCCAGACTCCAGTTGGGGATGCAGAACTAAATGGTCTGAAACACTTCCAGCACTTGCAAATGTAAGGACATGACAATCCTGTAGGAGAGAAATGCATCTTATGAAATATCAGAACATTAGGTAAAGTAAAATGTTATTCAATAGCATAAACAGCAAAATGTGTCACTGGTACTTCTTGATGTCTTACCTTCAGACCACAGACAGCAAGGTAATCATCATTGGCAGGGTTTGCTGTAATAGAGAGCACTGTGAATGGCACTGGTGCTGAAGAGAGTCTTGTGAGGGTAAGCTTCCTCTTTGCGGAGTCATGTTGTTTAAGCAGAGAAGAAAGTTGGAGCACAGTGATCTTGCCCTTTTCATGTGAAACAGCCAAATGCTGTCTCTTTCCACCAGGAGAGGCAAGGCAACACATAGCAACTCTCCTGATCATGTGAGCTGACACCAACTGGCGGATGGTCTGCCCTTGCTCCCCAGAGTAGTTAAGACGGACATTTTCAAAGGCTCCTTCCTGGGACCCAAGAGTGGCTACCATCAACTGTTCAGATGGCTTAACAACCTGGAATATAATGAATTCTTTATATTATTGACTCCCCTAAACTAAAAATAAATTCTTTGTGACAAAGAACTTATCTTTTTTTTTTTTACAAGGCCTTCTCTATCAATTCTGTATGATCTTATTCTCAACAAATAATAACGTGTAGAGTGCAACGGAAAGATGAGGCTATATAGTTCATCTATTTTCTGTTATTTAGCATTTTATCTATTTATTTATTTTTTTACCAAAGAATGTTGTATATTCAAGCTTGTATTAATTTAAACTATAGAAGCACTTGAAAAAAAATATATGATTTTCAGATTCTATACCACTCTTTAAAAACATCAATCTAAAAAAAGATTAAAACAAACCTTTGAATCATTATGAACTTGGTGCAGAGCAGTCAAAGCACGCTGGTATGACCCAACAGAGCTGGACTCCATGGAACTAGACTGAATAGTGGGCATCAAATCGGACAGCAAGTCCAGGACTGTTGCAGCCACCTCACTGCTGCTCACTTCGCCAACTAGGAGGTCTCGTACATTTTCTGAAAATTGCCAGGGATGAGGAAATCAATATCCATTTTTCTATTCTAACAAGATCTATAGTTTTTTTTTTTTTTACTACAAAGTGGATTTGAAGAAATGCCATTTCTTGATGAGAGGTCAGTTTTACTTACCCAGTTTCTTAGCTAATGCTTGTCTCTGCTTGTGTGTGTCATCACGATGTTTATCCTTGGGAAAGAAGGTTAAAGAAATTGTAGTTAGATTTCAATATTCACAAAAATTTTGTTTTAACTGGTAAAGATAATTCACATGTCAGATGCTCAAAACCATATCAATATACATAAAAAATCACATAAAAAACATAACTTGTTTTATTTCAAGTTAGAGCACATTACACTTCCCTTTTTACTTAAAATGACTTACAAAAGGACACTTCTAAAGTAATTACTGAATGTATTCTACAGCTAAGACATGGGAAATAGCCTCCTGAAATACTTACTGACTGAGTTCCTTGAGAAGGTGAAGATGGGCGTCGTCGTAAGGAGGATGGAAGCAGAGGCTCAACGCCAAATGCTGCAGGCCCACTGGATGATCCACCTCCGTCTTCATATGAGGCTGGACTCCGTTTGACAAGAGCCTGGCACATAAAGACAAAATTGTCAACCTTTCTCTTTGCATAAAAACAGGGTCATTTTATAAGATGAAAGGGTCAGTCAACATAATAACAATATCCTTAATGAACACACAATCAAAACTAATGATTCTAGAAAATTCAGAAAAGACAAACCTGACACGAGCCATCCTCCTTTGCACCACAGTCACAGAAGAAAGCTCCATATTTTGCATAGGTGACATCATGACCTCTATGACATACCCGGGCACAGACTGTACAAACCCCAACACCATCAACCATACGACAGGTGTGGCAGTGATACCAGTGTTGGTGCATGAATTCTTTTTGTGTCAATGTAAAAGTGCACAGTTTGTTGCACATACTATCCTCATCCTGCAAAAGAAAAAAAGAAAAGATTTACACTAAACCATAATGCTATGAAGACTTTCAAAGAGTCCCATATATACACGTGAAGTTCAGTTACCCAAATTTACATGCAAATATACTTACAGAATCTTCACCCGCACTATCGTCATCTTCTTGTGCCAGGTCGTCAACCCAATCGGAGTCAGTGTCGGCTGTGAGATCTAACTCATAGGGAGGCGAAGTCATGCCACTTCTGTATGCAACAGCCCATCTCTCACTGCTCACCTATGGGAAGAGTATTAACATTAAGTATTTTAAATAACTCCTCTAAAGGTGAGGTACAATATACTGTTACATGCTATGAAACCTTATTTTCAAAACCTTTAATTAGCTTGTACCACATCACATTCAAACCTACTGCAAGGTGTGGGACTTAGTTTTTATGATCAAGATTTATGTTTCTTTAAACAATATATTTATAATGATAATGGCTTCAGAACCAATGCACCTGAGTTTTTTTTAGCTTTTGCATTTAACCAGTACTATACTAATAGCTTACGGCAAGTTGCTCAGTTTTTTTTGTTCCCTCCTTTCTTTGGCAGTCAATATAGCACCTAGATATGACAATTTTGATGGATCTAAAATGTTAGAGCCTTTCCCATCTGGGAGGTATATTACATGCATTTATAATAGGTTTGCATCCTATCACATGACAGACTACCCTCCTGCTGGAATGACATCATTATATCTTATATTTTATTATTATATCCGTGGTTGTGATCATTGAGGGGAAACAGCCTCTCAAAAGTAGGCTTAAAGTCTCTTGTTCGCCTCATTATCTAGAGAATCATTTGTGCCCCAGCCAAGAGTAAAGAGAAAGGGGTAATTTTATGGTTCCCGCACTTCTAGTTTTTCCCTCAGGCAGCAAGCTCCTATGGATAGTTTGGTATAGAACTGGGGGCTCCCATCATAAGTGGGTTAATCAGTTTTATCTCATGGAAGCAGAGTTAATGGGTGGGAGGAGGAGCAGCTGGGATTTGAGAAATTGCCTATATAGGTTTTCCTGTTATTCTTTGTCTTGCCTGGTTCTTGAATGTGCTGTGCTACTGTCCTGGTTGGACAAAGTCAATTCATTTGAGTATGATCAGAATATCATTTAGACAAAAAAAAGTCATTTCCAATGCTTTATTTGATTCCAACTGAAGATGTTTTTATGTTTTTACAACAGGCAAAGATTTTCCCCCATTTCACAAACCAAATTTGGTATAATACTTACTTTGAGAGCAGCAACAACATCACTGACATATGAGAGAAGATGACACATGGCCTCCAAAAGTCCCTTGTCCTTTTCTCCAACCAGATGTTGTTTACTGTAAAACAAAAGTTTACTGATATAAACATCACAATACAAATAAATCTGATACTGATAGAAATCACACAACTTCATTCAAAAAAACAATAGACCAAATATAAAACGTTAAAATCTCTTTACACTTACCACTGTGTAACCCACTGTATTGCAGCTCTGAAAAGAGTCACATGACCAGTTCCTGCACCAGCACTTGCCAAGGATGACATGACAGAGAGGAGATGTGTCATGCTAGACAAACCCTCACTGCCTCCTGACACCAAAGAGGAACCCAAAGGAACCAAGGAGCGAAGAAGGGCATGTGCTATCTCCTGAAAAGAAAAAAAAAGAGAATTCATAATCAACAGAAAACTATTGATGCAATATTCTTTTTAAAAATCTGTTGTCTAATATTATACTTCCAAATGAACACAAATTCTTAAAATTACTAATATCTACTAAACTATATAAAGTACAAACCTCTGCACTCTGTGTGTCCTGTGTAATAATATAAGCTGTAAGAGTCCGCAGAAGTTGCCAACTACTTGGTGTTGAATCTGAGTCACTGGTGGGTGCAGTAGTTAACAGATTTGTAGACAGCCAACCTTGCAATATTCCGGACTCTAACCAAGAGCCAACAGATATACGACTGCATATAGATGCTAGTGTGTGGTCATTTGGATTCTTCTCAGCTGCAAAATGGGGGGAAAAAATAATGCATATGAATTTGGGTTGAGATCTGGATTCACATCTAGTCCTCTAAAAATTTCCTTTCCATTTTGATGTTAATTCTCAAATAAAATGAACATTAAGACAATATAAACCTTGTATTTCCATTGCAACTCTAAAGTATATCATTCAGTTTACAAAACAAAATCACTGAATCAATCTCAGACAGAATAATATCCAACCACTGTCTCTCTCTACTACATACAGATGCATTCACATACCTAGCTGGAAGAGCCGGATAAAGAACTTGATAATGTGTGACGGAAGGCTTGATGATGACATGTCCCCACTTACAGGTGGACTCAACAGAACCGAGGCAAATTGTGACTCTGTAAGGAATTTATCCAGAGCTAACTTGCCAGCAGACACCTCTAGTAGTTCTTCCAGGAATGTTGTACATCCTTCTAAAATCTGCTCATCTATAACCCTGTAAAAAAAAAGTCATATGAATGAAATTTGACTGACAAAACTTTAAGAGGTTTAATATACGAAAGGAAAAATAATAAAGGTTGCAAAAAAGAACCACCTGAACACTAAATCCACAGTACTATATGACAGCTGCTCTTTCCCTACTTACCCCTCGCATGCCGCTGCAGATTGCAAGAGAGACTCTACATGAGTTAACAAATGTGAGTAGAGTGTCAGCTGGAACTGATCAGGTGAGGTAGAGGAATCCCCACCTTCCTGGGCTGGAAGGAGGCGGTCAAGTGCCGTGGAGACAGACTCCGATACATGATCACAGGTGGCATCAACGGCAAGGCCAACCAGAGTGGTAGTTAGTAGTCCACCTGTCTTTTCATCATCGCTGCACCAGCTAAATAAAATGTATTATCAGTATTGATAAAATAGTATTATAATTATGAATGAAAATAAAAATCATCTAGATGAAGTAAAACAATGTTGCATATCATAATTTTTTCATTCTTTTCTTTTTACTTTTTATCTACTTCAGTATCATAATTTCTCTAGATGAATTTGTAGATGTATTATACTAACCTTGCAAAATCAGTTGCAAATGTAACTAGTGTGTGCATCACATGTTTTAGGGCCAGATTGATGGTAAAAGATGGCTGAGCAGAGAGGGTTGCCACATGACCCATGACAACACCAGACACATAGGTCTCCCCTGGTAGCACATCACCACTCATTGTGCTTCTCTGTAATAGAATCATTAGATTTTAAATTACAAATCAAAATTATACTCATTTTTCATTTATAGACATCTTATTCCTAATGTATAAAAAAATTTAACAGATCAAAGTCAAAATCCAATAACAAGGAAAATTTGCCAAACTAATTACTGACCCATGCATGGACTGCTGGAAAGTCTGACATTGTATTAGCATTCCAGTTGTCCAGAGCAGTTTTGAGTGGTGCAGGGAGAGCAGCCCTGGTTAGGCAAGGTGGGTGGGGCCCGGCTCGCGGAACATGGCCACCAGACACAGCAAGAACAGAGGAATATGCATCGAGGGCCTCAATGGGTAGTTTGCTACCTTCCTCCAGGACACCATTCATTTGTTGTAGAAGACTCCATCTGTAATGCAATACAGTGTCAGGTTATATAATACAGTATCTTACCACTGAGAAAACAATCATCACCAGATACCATTAATCATATCATGTATACAAAAACACTTAAGCAACCACATTCATGGTTCATATGTTTTTATTGATTTAATAATATCTATGTCTTCAGATGAAAAATATACTTTTAAACAAATTATACCTTGTAGCATATGCAAGGGCTTGAATGAGGCTGAGCAGGCCAGATATTGGTAGTTGATCTGCTGAAATGTCCAAAGCACGAAGGAGATCACTCCCTTCACTTGAGCGGAAGTCAATGTCACCTTTCTGACATGCTTCATCTAAAGTCACCTGGAGGCGAGCCAACACTGTGTCCAACATGTAGAGGTCGGAGAATGCAGGCAGCTGTTCTGATGTTAGGAGTGTGCCTACCATAGTGCTGTAACCCTTTAGGAGAAAAAAAATAAACCTTTAAAATAATTCCATGTTCATCTTTTTTCTTTATCTCTACTCAAAATTTACGCATGTTTGGGGCTATGGCTATCAACAGCCTATAATTTGGTGTCCTTACTTCCAAAAATTAATATTTTCTTCTGTATGGTAAATGGTTGAACTCTGAAGCAATATGGTGTTTATTAATTTTTATGTAATTTGTCATAATGCCATGAACTATGGCTGACATGATTTGTAAAAAAATTATATCTATCAAAAGTATTTAAAAAATAATAGAGATAGTAACAAATAAATAAATAATATTTGAAACATATAATAGATAAATAAATCAATTTATTTGTGTTACAAAGATAATTGCTTACTTTGTTAAGGAGTGAAGTGATAAGGTGGTTTGCAACTTTCAGATCATGTTTAACATTACACATAGTCTTTGCAACAGATTTCAACAGTGCATCAGCTTTCTGGGTAGTCAAGCTTTGCCTCACAAGTCCATCCTGAAAACAAAATTGAAAGAAATAAGTATAAGAAAACTTAACTAGTGGATATAAATATAATTTTCAGATAAATTGATTCATATTCAAAATTCTCTCAAACAATTATCATAACCAAAGTAACAAAATATTGCTGTAATGAATTATAATCACAGTAAAAAGGAACAAAGAAAATCAGTACCTTAATCCAGCCATTGAATATCTTGTGTGATGCTCTTGGGCCCCACAAGAGAGCATGTAACAGATGCGATCCTTCTAGTTTGGCATCAGCACTTGCCATAGATTCCAGGGCTGACACAGAGGGAGGCATGGTAAGGAGCAGACGGTATGACAAGGAGAAAGCATACTGCACAGCACATAGACCAAGATAGCTCAATTGGGGATCAGAGGTAAATCGTAGACTAGGGTCATTCTGGCAGCCCACTCCAAGGAGATTGACTAGTGTGTCATACAGTGTGCTGTATTTGAGTGTGTCTGGAGTTGCAAGTATGAAACTGCAAGCCTGTGGAATTACAAAACACATTAATATTCGGATTATCCTTCAAAAGTCGAAGTTGAGCCCATTATAGTTTTATTTTATCACAGAATCCTCTTGTCCATTTTTAATTTCATTTTCATTTTTTCTATCAAAATATAATTTTGACTTTGCAGCCCCATTCATATCTTGTTTCAGTAATTGGTTAATTTTTAATAGCCAAGAGTACAAGGAAATCTGTTCATCTCACCAGTCCATCCAGTTTGGGTGTATCCTGGGTATTTGTTTCTGCAGGAGTGAGTGTGTAGAATCTTGGACGAATTGCAAAATCATCATGAGAATAATTCTTTCTAAAGTTCTCTTCCAAATCTCTCCATACATGGTATAGCTTCCCACCTGAGCCCAAGCTAGACTCCTTTCCAGGGCTTTGGCTTTCACATATAGGTTTAAACAGATTCCATTGGACCTGTAATGTAAACAAATCATTCATTTATTAAAAATCACAAGAGACATGACCAAGTAAAATCATCACTATCTGATAGAAAATACATTCAATAAAACATCTTATAAATATGAATACAGTAGATATAACATACTCACTTGCTCAATCAACACCTGAGGAGCCTCATAGAGATTCTTCATAAGGTAATCAAATATGAGAAGGAGTCGTGCCAAGTGCAAGATCTGAGTGTCTCTCATGGGAGTACTGACGACTGAGGACACATTCACTACAGCAGATGCTACACTCAGTAGGACACTCTTCTTCTGCATTAGTTGCAGTGAATGGAATAGGAACAGCAGTAACTGAGCATGCTCCACATTCAAATCTGCAAAGGAAAAAGAGGAATGTTAGTTGTCAATTAATCTAAAATATATCAGCAAGAAGCTCTATGCTAATAGAGAAAAGGGTGCTTTCAATGCTAATAAATAATTTTGAAACATTTAAACAAGCCTTAATTATAAGCAAACCAGACTGTTAATGTGATGAACCACAAAGTCTCCCAAACAATTAATCAATTAACAGGAACATGGTGGCAAATCAACTCTATTGAAACTACAATACTAAAATAATAAATAAATAAAAAATAAATAAAATAAAATAAATAAAATAAAATTCCCCTCTCAATATGGTATTTTAAAAAGGCAAATGTAGAGCAAAATAAATGTTACCTCATATATTTCCTATATTCCATAATTCATGTAATCTTTCTTAAATCTAATATATTTCCAATTCATTTTCAAATTGGATGTTTGCAAAATAATTGCTGCAAAATTTGAAAAAATCCCACGGATGTAAAGTTCACTATGCCCCATCACATTTTAATGCAATGGCTCCAGGCTGGCTAAAACACTGAAATAACTTAACCCTAGGGCTTCACCTATATATGTAAATGTCTTCAATGAGAGCATATATTTTCAGGCCAGATGTGCCCCAATATGGCTGTGGAATATGGCTTTGATACAGCAGTATGAAGTAATAGGTCCTCAAAGCTAGTTTTCAACTGAACTCATGCAAAAGCATCTAGCCACAGAGCAAGATAGAAGGGCTATATACTGTACTGGATTGAGATAAAAGATGGATAATCTCAGCATGGCATAATATATATACCATCTGCAGGCAAAGGGTTAAAACACTACATGTATGACACTGGTTAACAATTTTGAATAACACTATCCAATTAGATCCCCCAGTAAATTGTAAAATTTCCAAAGTGAAGCACATCAGAGGTGCTCCACTTCCTAACAAAACAGTTCAAAGAATGAGAGATTGACATCCTGATAACTGAGCTCTTAATGAAGAAGCCATACCTTCTGTTTCAGCTTCTGGTGCTGGTGGATTTGTAATGGACTTTGTTAGTGTTGTGATGACACGATGCCAGATGAGAACACAGGCTGTGTCAGAGTCGCACTTGAGTTCATCCTTGTCACGTCTTTGGCGTAAAAGTAGGATCTGTAACACACAAGATACAACATAGTAAAAATAAAGCTGATCATGTTGAATGACATAAAATGTCATAAAGAAATAACTTCATAAAGGAAAATAATACCCAATACTTTATCAGCTGCCTTGCAGATATTGCATCAATTGCTCTAAGCCTTCTATTCTATCACTTCCTACCCCATTTAGCTAAAAGAAAGAAAGAAAAACAACAACACAAATATCACTAACCTGAGCTAGTACTGTTAGTGTCCTTGGCAGGACCTGTAGTGGCCAGTCTCCATCTGGTGTTGAGGGGGAGACTCCCAACTGTGCAAGAAGGGTATTCTGAAGCGTCTCACTCAAGAGACCAGAAGCAATGACGTTGTGAGTGTAGCGGTAGAGAGCGTATGAGAACTCATCGTAGAGAGATCCCAACACTGGTCCAAGATATCCAGTAAGACTTCCTGATGATCATACAACAAAATTGAGTTGGACTTTTTTATTCCTAGATACCTGTTCATATAATACAGAGATGTTACTCCACACCAACAATCACAATGAATGACTATATTCTAACTTACCTGAGTCTGACCGGGCAGTTTCCCTGTCTAAGTCCCTAATGATGGCAGCTAGGACTACCATGTGAGTTTCAGCCAATCCTGCACGAACATACTGTTGCACGTAGGCACACTCACTCTCCACTAGATAACTGTTCATCAGCAGGAAGATATGTGATGCCAAAGAGATAAACTGGAAACAGAAAAAAAAAAACTTTAGCTCTACTACTATTTCATACAAAATTATGAGCCTGTGAAATTATTTGCATTATATAGCCCCCTTACAAAGGTATAGCAAGAGTAAAACTAACAGTAAGTTTATATTTATAGATAGTCCCCTACTTAAGAACATTCTACTTATGAACATTCCATACATACAAACAAATTTTTTTAAATACTAAAGTCCAAAAAATTGTTTGAAAGATGCTAGCAAACTTCAAATTTCCCGGGCACAAATATAATTCAAGAGTCTGGTACTGTTTAAGGTATGTGGTACTTACTGGGATTTATTTACAAGTATTCTTAATGTAAACAAAAATTTAAAACAATGGGAAAAAAGGTAATAGAGACATACAAACAAATCAACTTACAAACAGCCTCTCGGTCCCCATTATGTTCTTAAGTTGGGGACCATCTCACCATATATGCCTCGAAACATTACATTCGCTATATATACTAAGATTGTACTTAAACATTAATCAAGAACCTGAAAATACCAAAGCTGTAACAAATTATGATGCATTTGCTTACATACAAGTGTGAACACAAGTAGAAACATGTGTATACATGTAAATGCATTTTCGTGTCTATTTGTATTTGTGCCTGAGTCTACACTGTAAGGCACTAAGTTACCAAGGGTTTCATCTATCTACCCCTTCCTTGAATTCTCAGAAAAAAAAAAAAAAAAAAAAAAAAATCCTTTACTATTATCATAGCTATATACAGTATCATCATTATGAACATCATTTTCATTATCTTTATTATTATGCTATCAAATAACAAAAATAATAATAAAAAACTATTTTCCCCAGAAAAAATATAGGCACTGGATAAAAATAGGCATAGTCAGGCAGGCCTAATAATCGACTCCTTGACGGAGTCCTTTATGCATGAGAAAAATAGTAAAACAAAATAATAGTGAAACTATCTATACACGTACTCCCAGCACTCAATATGTTTATTCAATTTCCTGTTACTGCTGGGTCATAACAAACCACTTGATCTGCTCGGTATGGCTATACATGTGGCAATGCTACAGTGTGTCTAGCGGGAGGTTGCCAGAAATCACCAGAGTCTATGACAGTGAGAGATTTTTAATAAATAGTGCCATTAGGCACATTGGACTCTGGCACCTTTAGCTTCTACAACATACATCACACTAGCTAACTTACCCCATGAGGCTCCCCTTTCTCAGGAACGATGGTTGTGACTTCGGAGTTGTGGCGATGAGGGGTCTTGGCTTGGGAGTCATCCGGGGAGGAGGATGAGTCACTGTTCCCCTGGGCAGCTCCTGTGGTGGGGTCATCCCCTCCGTCGCCTGGGGTGCTGGGTTCCTCAAACCACGAGCCAATGATAACTGAGTCGTCGTCTGTGGCGGGGCCAAGCACCGGGTTATCACCACAGTCTGCACCACCCCCAACACCAACACCACAACGACAGCAACCACACAGACAGAACACAGGTCAATAATGCAATTTGTGCTTAGTGAAACAGGCATCTGTGAGGCAATACTGAAACATTGCTTGTTGGTGGGAGACTTTCTTGATTTCTTACATTACTTGCAATTGCCCATTCAAAATCATACAATAAAAGTTGTTTAATTAACAAAGCTTATCACCTGCCTTTAGACTCTTTTTTCAAAAGTCTTGTAATGTATATGATTGTGCACATGCTTATGTATATGGATCTAATTTTGTATTCCCAATAGCATTTCTGTCAACCAGCAGATACTATATATAGTTATGTGCTAACTGCAAAAAAAGTCATGTGATGATTTGTGTTGCTGAAGGGATGCATAGATAACCGAATCAATATGTGAAAGAAAATGAACATCATCTGTCTATGGGCTGTTCTGCTAATGTGACTAGGTGTGTAGATGGTTGACTGAGTGAGTGAATGTATGTCTGTGTATGTGTGTGCACATTCCTATAGGAGTGTGTGTGTGTGTTAGTGTGTGTGTGTGTGTTAGTGTGTGTGTGTGTTAGTGTGTGTGTGTGTTAGTGTGTGTGTGTGTTAGTGTGTGTGTGTGTTAGTGTGTGTGTGTGTTAGTGTGTGTGTGTGTTAGTGTGTGTGTGTGTTAGTGTGTGTGTGTGTTAGTGTGTGTGTGTGTGTTAGTGTGTGTGTGTGTTAGTGTGTGTGTGTGTTAGTGTGTGTGTGTGTGTTAGTGTGTGTGTGTGTTAGTGTGTGTGTGTGTTAGTGTGTGTGTGTGTTAGTGTGTGTGTGTGTTAGTGTGTGTGTGTGTTAGTGTGTGTGTGTGTTAGTGTGTGTGTGTGTTAGTGTGTGTGTGTGTTAGTGTGTGTGTGTGTTAGTGTGTGTGTGTGTTAGTGTGTGTGTGTGTTAGTGTGTGTGTGTGTTAGTGTGTGTGTGTGTTAGTGTGTGTGTGTGTTAGTGTGTGTGTGTGTTAGTGTGTGTGTGTGTTAGTGTGTGTGTGTGTTAGTGTGTGTGTGTGTTAGTGTGTGTGTGTGTTAGTGTGTGTGTGTGTTAGTGTGTGTGTGTGTTAGTGTGTGTGTGTGTTAGTGTGTGTGTGTGTGTTAGTGTGTGTGTGTGTTAGTGTGTGTGTGTGTTAGTGTGTGTGTGTGTTAGTGTGTGTGTGTGTTAGTGTGTGTGTGTGTTAGTGTGTGTGTGTGTTAGTGTGTGTGTGTGTTAGTGTGTGTGTGTGTTAGTGTGTGTGTGTGTTAGTGTGTGTGTGTGTTAGTGTGTGTGTGTGTTAGTGTGTGTGTGTGTTAGTGTGTGTGTGTGTTAGTGTGTGTGTGTGTTAGTGTGTGTGTGTGTTAGTGTGTGTGTGTGTTAGTGTGTGTGTGTGTTAGTGTGTGTGTGTGTTAGTGTGTGTGTGTGTTAGTGTGTGTGTGTGTTAGTGTGTGTGTGTGTTAGTGTGTGTGTGTGTTAGTGTGTGTGTGTGTTAGTGTGTGTGTGTGTTAGTGTGTGTGTGTGTTAGTGTGTGTGTGTGTTAGTGTGTGTGTGTGTTAGTGTGTGTGTGTGTTAGTGTGTGTGTGTGTTAGTGTGTGTGTGTGTTAGTGTGTGTGTGTGTTAGTGTGTGTGTGTGTTAGTGTGTGTGTGTGTTAGTGTGTGTGTGTGTTAGTGTGTGTGTGTGTTAGTGTGTGTGTGTGTTAGTGTGTGTGTGTGTTAGTGTGTGTGTGTGTTAGTGTGTGTGTGTGTTAGTGTGTGTGTGTGTTAGTGTGTGTGTGTGTTAGTGTGTGTGTGTGTTAGTGTGTGTGTGTGTTAGTGTGTGTGTGTGTTAGTGTGTGTGTGTGTTAGTGTGTGTGTGTGTTAGTGTGTGTGTGTGTTAGTGTGTGTGTGTGTTAGTGTGTGTGTGTGTTAGTGTGTGTGTGTGTTAGTGTGTGTGTGTGTTAGTGTGTGTGTGTGTTAGTGTGTGTGTGTGTTAGTGTGTGTGTGTGTTAGTGTGTGTGTGTGTTAGTGTGTGTGTGTGTTAGTGTGTGTGTGTGTTAGTGTGTGTGTGTGTTAGTGTGTGTGTGTGTTAGTGTGTGTGTGTGTTAGTGTGTGTGTGTGTTAGTGTGTGTGTGTGTTAGTGTGTGTGTGTGTTAGTGTGTGTGTGTGTTAGTGTGTGTGTGTGTTAGTGTGTGTGTGTGTTAGTGTGTGTGTGTGTTAGTGTGTGTGTGTGTTAGTGTGTGTGTGTGTTAGTGTGTGTGTGTGTTAGTGTGTGTGTGTGTTAGTGTGTGTGTGTGTTAGTGTGTGTGTGTGTTAGTGTGTGTGTGTGTTAGTGTGTGTGTGTGTTAGTGTGTGTGTGTGTTAGTGTGTGTGTGTGTTAGTGTGTGTGTGTGTTAGTGTGTGTGTGTGTTAGTGTGTGTGTGTGTTAGTGTGTGTGTGTGTTAGTGTGTGTGTGTGTTAGTGTGTGTGTGTGTTAGTGTGTGTGTGTGTTAGTGTGTGTGTGTGTTAGTGTGTGTGTGTGTTAGTGTGTGTGTGTGTTAGTGTGTGTGAGTGTTTGTGCATGTAGTTTGTATATATTTGGCAGGCATGCAAAGCATAATCCAGGAGCTATCTTTATGAAGATCATGATGCACCAACAAATCTCAGTTTCAGATCTCATTCACGACAAGGCATATTTGCATTACATTAACAGATAGAATTGACAGGAGAAAAATCATCATGCAAATCATCTTCATTTGAAAAATTCATTAAGCAGAAATGAATCATCAGATAAGCAGAATGAACATAAAAATGCAATTTTATTTTTAATTCATGTTTCTAAAGCAGATATTGAGAAGAGAAAAGAATCTTAAACAGCATTCAGTGACAATAAATCAAATTCACGTGATAAAGAGAATAATACATTCTTTACAAAATACATAGACTTTGCAACTGGGAAAAATAATATTTCCAATAATGAACAAGACAAAGAAAAATGCAAGCATAAGATGGATTTCCCTCTACAGTCTATGCATAATATCATAATATCATAAACACAATATAATATAAATGAGATGAGAGTATAAAATATTCAAGCAAAATTGTGCCAAAATTTTTAGTTTTTACATGCAAGAAAGATATTCAATGACACTTAACCAAATTTAAAATATTCTTGTTTGAATGTCTAGTTTATGCTTTTATTTTTTAAAAATAAATTTCTTAATGAAAAACAGATTATAGATTTTAATTATAATTTTGAATAAAATTTGAAGGACTTAATCATAGGCAAGGGAGATTGTTCTATAGAAAAATCAGTTATGACAGTAGCACGTATTTCCCCAAATTTCAGTAACTAACATATATACATGCAGACACATACAAAACATACACATGTATATTTAAATAAATAAACAGATATACAAAACACACAAATAACTAAATCTTTAACAAATATGTGTCCAAGACCTACATAAGTAAGGTCTCATTAAGCTACTCATATTCGTTCCCCTCGCACATGACATCACTTGGGTCAAACCCTGGGGGTCAATGGTGATCATGTGGTAATTAGTGGATGGAATGTAGACCCGCAAAGCTCTCCCTCTTTCGCTCATCTTTGCTTGCATGACTGACTGGCGCACACAAAAGCCACAATGCCCCACACATGTTTAGTGGTTGGATTATTATTAATGTCATTACTGTAACAATTATTATTGCCATTATTATTATCAATACTATTATTTTTCTTATCATAATGATGATGATAATTAATATGTGAGCAAAAGTGTGTGTGTGTGTTAGCGTGTGTGTGTGTGTTAGTGTGTGTGTGTGTTAGTGTGTGTGTGTGTTAGTGTGTGTGTGTGTGTTAGTGTGTGTGTGTGTGTTAGTGTGTGTGTGTGTGTTAGTGTGTGTGTGTGTTAGTGTGTGTGTGTGTGTTAGTGTGTGTGTGTGTGTTAGTGTGTGTGTGTGTGTTAGTGTGTGTGTGTGTGTTAGTGTGTGTGTGTGTTAGTGTGTGTGTGTGTTAGTGTGTGTGTGTGTTAGTGTGTGTGTGTGTGTTAGTGTGTGTGTGTGTTAGCGTGTGTGTGTGTGTTAGTGTGTGTGTGTGTTAGTGTGTGTGTGTGTGTTAGTGTGTGTGTGTGTGTTAGTGTGTGTGTGTGTGTTAGTGTGTGTGTGTGTGTTAGTGTGTGTGTGTGTTAGCGTGTGTGTGTGTGTTAGTGTGTGTGTGTGTTAGTGTGTGTGTGTGTTAGTGTGTGTGTGTGTTAGTGTGTGTGTGTGTTAGTGTGTTAGAGTGTGAGTGTGAGTGTGAGTGTGAGTGTGAGTGTGAGTGTGAGTGTGAGTGTGTGTGTGTGTGTGTGTTTGCGTGCGTGTGTTTGCGTGCGTGTGTTTGTGTGCGTGTGTTTGCGTGCGTGTGTTTGCGTGCGTGTGTTTGTGTGCGTGTGTGTGCATATGTGCATTTGTGTGTGTGCATTTGTGTGTGCCTGGAGGGTAAAAACAGATGCCATGTCCACCTGGATTTTAGTTTTCTAATATTGCTTACACAAAAAGGACTCCAAAAGAGTGAGTCACTAGAAAGTCAATTACTATTCCTACTTAATCACTACTTAATCACACCTATCTATCCCTTTCCTTGATTATCCATAAGTATTGATAGTAACATTATAAAAAAAATAATAATAATAAAATAAAATAAATAAATAAATAAATAAATTAATTAATTAATTAATTAATAATAATAATAATAACAACAACAATAACAATAACAATAACAACAGGTATTAATAACAGCGTTGGAAAAAAATCAAGCAATGGGATAATGGATGAGGTCAAGTAGGTCTATACGAACTCCATGGTGATTAAGCCTATGTGTAAACAAAATTAACAAAAAAACTAGTTACCCAGCACCAATGGGCTAACCCAATACCACTGGGGATGGCATGTATGCATATGCTATGCCTTTTGTGAGTTTAGTTTATTTACTGTCTTTACACATTGATGGCGCTCACTCTCTCTCTCTCCCTTTCCCCCCTTCTCTCTCTCCCTTTCCCCCCCCTCTCTCTCTTCTCTCCCCCCTCTCTCTCTCTCTCTTCTCTTCCCCCCCTCTCTCTCTCTCTCTCTTCTCTTCCCCCCTCTCTCTCTCTCTTCTCTTCCCCCCCTCTCTCTCTCTCTTCTCTTCCCCCCCCCCTCTCTCTCTCTTCTCTTCCCCCCTCTCTCTCTCTCTCTCTTCTCTTTCCCCCCCCTCTCTCTCCTCTTCTCTCCCCCCTCTCTCTCTCTCTCTCTTCTCTTTCCCCCCTCTCTCTCTCTCTTCTCTTTCCCCCCCCTCTCTCTCTCTCTTCTCTCCCCCCCCTCTCTCTCTCTCTTCTCTCCCCCCTCTCTCTCTCTCTTCTCTTTCCCCCCTCTCTCTCTCTTCTCTCCCCCCTCTCTCTCTCTCTTCTCTTTCCCCCCTCCCTCTCTCTTCTCTCCCCCCTCTCTATCTCTCTTCTCTTTCCCCCCCCCCTCTCTCTCTCTCTTCTCTCCCCCCCTCTCTCTCTCTTCTCTTCCCCCCCCCCTCTCTCTCTCTCTTCTCTTCCTCCCCCCCCCCTCTCTCTCTCTCTTCTCTTCTCCCCCCCTCTCTCTCTCTTCTCTTCTCCCCCCCCCTCTCTCTCTCTCTTCTCTTCTCCCCCCCTCTCTCTCTCTCTCTCTCTTCTCCCCCCCCCATCTCTCTCTCTCTCTCTCTTCTCTCCTCCCCCATCTCTCTCTCTCTCTCTTCTTTCTCTTTCTCTTTCACTCTTCTCTTTATCTCTCTCTCTCTTCTCTTTATCTCTCTCTTCTCTTCTCTTCTCTTCTCTTCTCTTTCTCTTTCTCTCGCTCTCTCTCTCATATCTTTATCTCTCTCTCTCATATATTTATCTCTCTCTCTCATATCTTTATATCTCTCTCTCTCTATCTTTATCTCTCTCTCTCTCTCTCATATCTTTATCTCTCTCTCTCTCTCTCTCATATCTTTATCTCTCTCTCTCTCTCTCATATCTTTATCTCTCTCTCTCTCTCATATCTTTATCTCTCTCTCTCTCTCTCTCTCATATCTTTATCTCTCTCTCTCTCTCTCTCATATCTTTATCTCTCTCTCTCTCTCTCTCTCTCTCATATCTTTATATCTCTCTCTCTCTCATATCTTTATCTCTCTCTCTCTCTCTCTATCTCTCTCTCTCTCTCTATCTCTCTCTCTCATATCTTTATCTCTCTCTCTCTTCTCTTTATCTCTCTCTCTTCTCTTTTCCACTCCCCTCTTCTCTTCTCCTCTCCCCTCTCTTCTCTTTTCCTCTCCCCTCTCTCTGCCCTCTCCTCTCCTCTCCTCTCCTCTCCTCTTTCTTCTCCACTCTCTTCTCTCCTGTCCCCTCTCTTCTCCCCTCTCTCCTCTCTCTCTCCTCACTCAAATTTTAATAACAATAACAATCATTGGATATCTAATCTAACAACAAATACTGAACTTAAAAACAAGAACCCTACATAATGACTAGAAATAATAAATAATATCTTAACATTTAGCTCAATTGTTACACACATATAGAGGATAACCATTAATGTCATAACTACTGTATATCATTACTGACCTTCTTCTCCAAGGCTCCCCTCAGAAAAATCATCTTCATAGTAAGTGGTTGAATCAGAGATGCTGAATGTATCTCCTTCGCCAATAGTTCTGTGTGTTCGCTTCAAGCTGCATGCCTGGTGAGTGTTTTATCAAATGTAAGTAATGTGTAAAATACAAGTTCACCAAGTATAACTATTGTACAAAACCAAAAATGCAAAATATCACAGATTACTCATATCTACATATCCTCTCTAAACCCAACCTGATACAGATCTTGGAATCAGCTTTGAAAAATTCACCCATTCATATGACCTTGATTATTTCAACGTAAGATAACTATGGTACTTTATCAAATCACACTCCACCTTTCTGTATGAGATAGTGGCCAGGTAGAAGAGCAGCTGATTCAGTGGCACAGCAGAAAACAATCTGGCAAGGCGCTCAGTTGCTGTGTAAGTCTCCAAGGGATCAAGCCTTGCTGGATCCGGAGGCCGTGGTGGTGTCCATCCCTCCACTTTTACATCTTCCAGCAATCCCGTCATAAGAGTGACGCCTTGAGATGCAAGTGCCACGCATACCACACCAAAACCTTGTTGCCTAATAGAGACCAAATGAAAAAAAATATATATATATATATATATAGTTTCATAAAGCTTGATTCATCACTTCCAAATTAGAAATCCACATTTAAAAGGTTTAGCTATATGTGACAAAATGTGCTGAAAAATCCAACTTACACTTTTGTCAAGTTAATTCGAGTAGATGCTGAATCTTTCTTGCTAGGACTACGGCCTTTGTCATCCTTTTTGTCTTGCGTGACAGCTGCAGAAGATACCACAAGCATCAACTGATGGAGTCCTGTCATCACCAACCACGAGCCCATCAACTGCAGATTCTGGACATGCTGCAAAAGAAGAGAACATTCAACATCTCAACTTTGCTGAAATAAAGAATAATTTTACTAATAAAAAACTTTCCAGTAAGATACTTAAATGACTACAAAACTTACGTGTCCACCAGCTCTTGTGGAGGATCGCACAGCATTCAATATCACATTAAAAAGGTCCAATGCCTTCTCTGCAATAGCTGGGGCTGCTGTGTCTATGTCATCTTCACGTGGAGGAGGTGGTGTCTGTATATAAGGAAAAATGAGCTGTAGATATCATTTATATTCTTTACAATAATTCTATTTATTCATAATCTTTATTAAATACATTGGGAATCATAGCCTTGGTAAAACTCAAAATACATCAGTACCTTGGATGAAGATGTGGCTTGTGATGCAACTGCAATAATTGCTGTAGCAGTTGCAACTGTGAGAGCAGCCAAGAGAGCTGCCATTGCAATTGTAGACAGCTTCTGAAGTCTAGTAGGGTTCAGAGGTTCTAGTAAGGGTAATGACATAACACGCCACACTGTGCTAAGCTCCATCACTAAAGTTGTCAGCCTGTAAGAGTAAGTGATAAGTGATACTTGAAATAGTCTGCAGACATGTTTGTGAAATATTAATTCATTAAGAAGTCACCAGATCACTCAAATCCTCAAAAATTACACTTACCCTGCTTTCACAACAAGAGCTTCTGAAACGGATGTTGGAAAACCATGACCTTTGCCCTCAAGCAGGTCTCTGTAACGCTGAGTATACTTGACAATGGTAGGGAGTCTGAGGCATACATCAATTAACTGTTCGCCACCACCCAAGCTTTGAAGGGCTGACACACATCGTGTTGCAAACAAATTCTAGAAGAGATAGAGAGAAAAAAATGTACTTCAATCTATAAAAGTGACGACCATCTATTCAATTTTCATCTCTTAATATCATAAAAATAATAACCAGTATTTAATAACCAATGTTGAATATCCTACAAACCAATCTACATTCTCAATCCTATCAATATAACAAACTTACTCTCATATCTAGAGCCGAATCTGATACCCCAGTCAGCGGTCCATCTCCATCTTTATCTGCCTGCGCAGGAGGGGTAGGCGCATGGGGGGGACGAGGCCTTGAGCCCCCAAGATCATGTAAGGGTGAGATCAACTGCTCCAAGATAACAGCACTGGGATCACTTCTGCCACGCCGCATCTCTTTGGATGCTCCCTGATCCTTGTCACCTAAAGATAATACAAATAATTAGAACAAGTAATTAGCTTTGCATTTTCCTGATATATTGGACTTTGTGGTGGGGAAAAAAAAAAGTTTTCAAAAATACACACATATACAAATGTAACTTTGTTCATTAAAGATACAAAAGACAAAGTGAAAAAAACAAAAAAAAACTGTATTAACTGATGCTGATGATGGTTAACAGTTCAAACAAAACAGTTAGATTATTAATTATAGAACTTTCTATATGTGTGTACACATTCTCTTCTTTTTTTTAACACTATAAATATTATGTATGGATTCTTTGCTTTCATGCACTAGTAAAGCTGTAGTGAGAAGCTGCAATATGACCTTACTTTGTGGAAATTGTTCTAAGACTAAACAAGTTGATCCTTTCACAAAAGAAGTGACACATGTAAACACTCCCATCAACTATTCACCTAGTCTTTTTCTGTGTAACCCTACTAATACTATATCAATTTTCCCCATTCAAGATACAGAACATTATACATTATACCCAATACCAGAATTTCTTTTTCAGTGTTATTTCTCAAAGTTTGTTCTTTACAAAAGGTATGCTAAGCTGACATGGAAAGCTACATGACAAGAGGATGGGGCATACTTAAAGACTTCATAAACTGCTATTCAAAAAGAAATGCCTTAACTTCAAGGTAGGTTGTTGTATAGCGGTAGTGATGAAGCAGGGAAAGGGTTAGAGGAAGAGAGGTAAAGAGTAATTGTTTGCATGCATTTGCATGTGTAATTGTGGATGGGCTTTTGTGTGTGCATGCATACACTGTTAATCAGTGAGATCAATATATATAACATCCATATACACAAAGAGTAAGCAACAAAAAATATTACAAGCTTCAGCTTATGCATCAGGTAAAGGACATTAACCCTTATGATCTGGATGCCATGACCATCACTTCATGAAAAAATCTGGCTTGAGGGCCAGGTGACAGAAACTTACTTGCCATCATGAGAATTTTGGCTGAAGGATGGGGTGACAGGAATGATTCATCAAAAGTGGATGTTGATTAGAATCAGTGGACATTTAGGGAGAACCTTTTGCATCATTTCCATCAATAACCGAGAATGGAAAATGGCAAAAAAGCTAAAAACATTTATGTAGAAAAAGTAACACTGTAGCTGGGAGTCTTTTCACCACACATGAATGTTTGTTAAGTAAGGCTAATGCCTGTATTTTGGGGCACATCCAGGCAGTGAAGCATCCAGATCCAAGGGATTAAATTTCCAAAATAAGAAAATCAATATAAGCGTAAAACTAGAAATGACAGAACATCATCACAGGCAAATGACACAAAAACCAAAAACTACTTTGCACTATCCCCTGTTGGTAACAAACCTGGTGGAGGAGGGGTACCTGGAGCCACAGTCTTGATATGTGGAGGAAGCTTTGCTGCTTTCATGGCTGCCGTCAGAGAGGCCTGGTCTGCTCGGTGGAGGGCCCCTGATCCACGGCAAAGGGCCTTGATCCCCGTCAGAAGGTGCTTGTCATGGACGCAAACCATCCGCTCTTTCTCCCCACCACTTCTAAGAGTACAGCTTAATCATTTAAGGTGGTACTATGATTAGATACAAGAAGAAAATAAATTCATTCTTCTTATGGTTACTAGGCATGGTCTTTCCCATCTTAACACAAAAGCTGTGATAATTTCCAACAAAACAACTACTCTGTGGAAACATGCACTCTTCTTAACACCTATTTTCCATGTTAAGCACGTCATATATTCTTGGTTAACCTTTAAAACACATTTGTGTCAGATTAAATAATGAAGAGAAACTATACATGTATATGACTTTCTCTAACTATAATATGTAACCTTTATTAAAACAGGTTTATAACAAGACTTAAACTCACTCTCCACTAGATGAAGTTGCAGTAGTGCTAGTGGTAGTTGTGGATGATGCTGTCGTTGAGGTTGTGCTGGCAGCTGTAGCAATCGGCTGGGTGCTGCCGCTTGTTGATGGTGTTGTCACAGTAGAGGTTGAGTTGCTTGCACCAGTGCTCCCAGTAGCAGTGGTGCTTGCAGACGAGTTTGTAGTTGCAGTCGAAGTTGATGGTGCTGGGGTTGTGATTGAGGTTGGTGGGTTCCCTACGCGTCCGGCCAGGAACTGGAGCAGCACCTTTGCCGCACTCACAGTCTGGCCAACTCCACCCACACTCACTGGGACATTTACGTGAAATTATCAGTATTACATAAAAAAGTCATCCTATGAAAGATGTTGAAGACAAGAATAAAGAGAGGTAGGATAATAAAAGCAGGCAGCAGAAGAGAAGAGAAATAAAGAGAGAAAAAGTAAGGTGAGGAGAGGAGAGGAGAGGAGAGGAGAGGAGAGGAGAGGAGAGGAGAGGTAAGGTAAGATGAGGTAAGATAAGGTAATGCATGGCAAGGTAAGGTATGTGTTAAGGTGAGGTGAGGCGAGGTGAGGAGACAAAAATAAGGAGAGGTAGGATACTAAAAGCAGGCAGCAGAAGAGAAGAGAAATAAAGAGAGAAAAAGTAAGGTGAGGAGAGGAGAAGTGAGGAGAGGAGGAGGAGAGGAGAGGAGAGGAGAGGAGAGGAGAGGAGAGGAGAGGAGAAGTGAGGAGAGGAGAGGAGAGGAGAGGAGAGGAGAGGAGAGGAGAAGAGAGGTGAGGTAAGGTGAGGAGAGGTAAGGTGAGGTGAGGTAAGATAAGGTAATGCATGGCAAGGTAAGGTATGTGTTAAGGTAAGGTGAGGTGAGGTGAGATGAGGAGACAAGAATAAAGAGAGGTAGGATACTAAAAGCAGGCAGCAGAAGAGAAGAAAAATAAAGAGAGAAAAAGTAAGGTGAGGAGAGGAGAGGAGAGGAGAGGAGAGGAGAGGAGAGGTAAGATAAGGTAATGCATGGCAAGGTAAGGTATGAGGTGAGGTGAGGTGAGGTGAGGTGAGGTGAGGTGAGGTGAGGCAAGGCAAGGGGAGGAGATAGGAGGAGAAAAGAGATGGGGCAAGAGAAGGAGGATTAGAAGAAGAAAAGGAGGATGAGAAGAAAAGGAGAATTAGAAGAGGAGAAAGAGAAGGACAGGAGAGGGAGAAGTACAGGGAGCGGGAGATGGAGAAATAGGAGTAGTAGATGGAGTAATGAAAGTTGAGATGAAAAGAAAAAAAAGGGAAATGAAAGAAAAGGAGAAAAAAAAGGCAGAGGATATAAAGGAACAGGAAGAACAAACCATGCAGTAGGCAGGGAAAAGAGAAGAAAAAAAGACAAACGGATATCAGCAACTAAAGAGGAAGAAGGGAAAGTAAAACAAACAGAAAGAAGATAATGCTGGTACAAATGACAGCTGTATATCATATCTAACAGGAGCTTAAGAAGACTCACCCTGATGGGCATTACTGGCCAAATAGTCAGCGGCCAGTACACAAAAGGAGGCATAGAATGGTTCATACTGTTCTTCATGATGTAAGATTTCTTCTTTGCTGGAAGAAAAGTTCAAATGTCAGCAACATTATTCACAATGGGAACATGGTTTGCACGTGATGAAAAAAGCAATACGCCACATAATCTTGCCTCTTTAAAACAAAACCCCATACTCAACAAAACAAACAAATCATGTACAATTATTTAAATGCCATAGTGTTTAATCCCCTACTCTAATTAAGCAAATGTCAAGTGTAACCCACTGGGGTTCATCATTTGTTTTATGTCCAAACATTAATCAAATTCTAAACTATTCCACATCACCTATTTCTTATTCCATTATGCATTTTACCCCCATAAACACTAAAATCTTCAATGTCAGCTAAAAGAACAATGGTTTTCATCCCATCATCAAAACCTACATTCTTTAAATCTTCACCTGAATAACCTTATCAATTCACCATCAAATGCACTTCTGTATGTTTCCCATTTCATCAAATCCATTCAATCAGGCTCAGCTCTCACATCAACCCTATTCCCTTGCAACTGGCTACAGCTGCTCATAATAGACATGCTACTGTACAGTTAGGAATGCAAAAGCAAAAAGAAAAGGGAGTGAGCAGTGGGACACCTGTTCAGTAAGACAATGATGTAAAGACTATGATGATACTCAATATCTAATGCGTAGGCCTCTGGTAGGCTTATACCATGCATACTCATGTGATTTTTTATATTTATGTCAAAGCTACTGAAGCTTCCTAGAAACATCATCATCTCATCTTAAAGGTTGATGATCTTTATTATTACACTGTTCATGTAATATCACATCCTCATCCTCATCCTCATCCTCATCATTATCATTATCATTATCATTATCATTATCATTATCATTATCATTATCATTATCATTATCATTATCATTATCATTATCATTATCATTATCATTATCATTATCATTATCATTATCATTATCATTATCATTATCATTATCATTATCATTATCATTATCATTATCATTATCATCATTATCATCATCACAGCATTATGTGGTGAATATTTCACTCACACCTGACACAATTGGGACAATAATACCTTACACTCTATCCTTTAAGCTCCTCCTATTCAAGCGATTTTCTAGGCAAGTTCAACATTCAATATCCTTTAGCAAAACATAAAAGTGCTTAGATTTAGCAAACATTCAGGATTTGTTTTTGTTTTTTTATCTTATCAAAATCTTGCAACAATAAATATTTCAATTTATACTTGATAAGACCCTGATAAGCTGATAAATCTCCCCACAACGGATCTTCATTGAAAAAATATAATGAAATCCAGTGTGCAATTTTTTCTGCTTCTTCAAACTTTGTGGAAAATGACCTTAAATTTAAACCCTGATCATATTCTAAAAAAAAAAATACTGATGAAATAAACCTCTATACACAAAAAAATCAAATCTAACATTTGGTACTAATATACATTTAATATACAAATCGAACATTTCGTACTAATATACATTTAACTAGACACTCTAATCAAAATGGGAAATAATGAAGAAACAAACAGCCAATCAATAATCAAATACAAAAAAACAAACAAACAGGCCTACAAAACCAAACCTCAAAATATACCAAATGACCCAAGAATTTCACCTTTTTTTACAATTACATACATCATTACCCATACAAAATCCAGACTAAATGTAGAAAAATCATCAAAATAAAAATAAAAAACAGCAAAATAAAAATAAAAACAACGTCAACCTTAAAATATTCTCAATAATTTTCTATTCAACTCTACGGTACATCCCTCCAGGAACTACTTAACTTAACATTAATATTAACAAATACAGAAGTTCGATCCATCTTAACATCACATTAGAAACACACAAACAATAACTTTGATACGAAATTAACAAAATAAATTAATAAGAATAAAATCTATAAATATTCTCGAATCTTGATCAGCTGATCGTGACAGGAAACTCAACATTTCAGCGAAAATACATACATTTACACAAAAATATAAATCAGCAACTATGTAAATCGATCGTGGATCTATTCTTCTTCTTCTTTCCGCTAATAGATCCCCCGAAGAGGTCATAATAACGAGAAAAATAAGGAAAAATAAGAAGCAAACGTCTTCTTCCTTAATGGGAGGAGCTCCAATTATCGCCAGGTCACACTTCCCTACTCAGACCCATTTCCCAGCCCAAAACCCTCTTTCTTCACCATTTTTTCACCATACCTACCTTTTCAATATACTCTTCACTAATTCCGGAAGGTCCTGTTTGTTCACGGAGCCATACGAAGCCGCCAAAATGGGTTTTACGAGTTGGCTCCACTCCACGCCTCCTCCGCTCGTCGCCGCCATGTTGACTCT